GCACTCATACCCAGCTGTGTTAGGAAAACGTCCTGTTGTAACAAGCCCTTTCTGCTTGTCTTGTGTCACATAGTGGTCGCAAGCTGCAGCCCCTTCTCATGGAAACACCACTTTTTCCTGGCATTTCCCTGGAATGCAAGGCTGCTGACTACCCCGTTGATGAGAGAGGAGCAAGTTGGGAAAGGCTCTGCCTAAAGCTTTTCCCTGTAAACTCTGTTGCTCCACCAAGACCTTTTACAAACACTTTGTCAGCCCAAGAACTAAGAGCCCTGCCTAGGCAGGGAGAGGCTCAGCGTGTCGTTTCAGGCTCTTTGGACAGGTGTACGAGGCTCAACTTGTACATGCATACAGATCCTCTGACACTCAACTGTAGATTGCACCAACAAATGCCACGTAAAATCAGCTTCTTTCACAGATATCGCATTTTCAAGTATGCAACGTTTCTTTATGGCCTTGGGATCCTGCTCAGACAAGACGCTGCATAAAATGCTACATTTCCCTTCCCTCTCAACAATTGAAGCCTTGTGTTTAATCCTCTTTGCTCAGCAGTTAGCACAAAGTTACCTTGTGTGCTGGCCCTTTGCAAAGGACTAATTTGTGCCAAACACGAAGAATTAAGAGGAAGCGAATTTCAGCAGGGAGCCCCCTCAGTGGCACCTCACCGTCACATAAGCCAAGTGTTAACGCTGATTTTCTCTCATCTTTCTTTCTCCATCATCACTAAAATCTCTTACTGTCAACCCTACCAAACTATTTCACCAGTCCATTGTGCCCTTTAGGTTGCCCTTCCTTCAGAGATAATACCTAGCTGGGAAATATGAATACATGAGAATGATGCTGTCTGCCTCCAGAATCCCAAAACAAACCACGTAACTCCTGAACTACTTCCTGCAGAAGAAAAAAAAGAGGTGAAGGATGGAGAGGAATCCACGGTTGGCTTCCTCAATCCACAAAATGACGATATCTAACCTTAGTACCCAATTCTGACTGACTGCAGTTGAACTGATAAATGGCTTTCTTGGGTAGCTCTAAGTATTTCAGACCTCAGACTCAGGAGTGCAAAGTGAGAAATAATTTTCAAGTCTTACACTCTGCATATCTATCACACGGTAATCAGATGAGGTCCTGGTGAGGCCAGTGAAACGGATGCACCAGGGAAAACTTCATCGCTTGCAGAAGTGAGGTGAGCAAGCTGTGCTATCTCAGATCTTCTCTCCTGTGGAACATTGAACATGCCACCTCCCTTCCCAGCTCAGGAATACAGCTAGCTACAGGCTCAGCATTTGTTTATTCTTTGCAGTTTTCCTAGTGATGAAAACCAGCTGGTTGAATTTACTGCATATAGAGACAGTATCACGTTAGAGAGATGCGGGATTTCATTGGCTCTGAATCTCACTGTGAATTTATAATTGCAGGAAAAGAACAAAATGTAATTAACAAGACCCTTGACTGGTAAGAAAAAAAGAGAAATAATCTTTTGCAGTGAGAATAAGCTCCTAACAATTCAATTTAATGAATAAACCCAAGCAGAACAGAGATATTAGTGTTTGTATTTGCACATGGCTTCAAGATGCTGGCTTGCTATTCCACATAATGATATAAATCCCTCCCAAACCCAGGACTATGCCCAAAAGAGCCCATATTCAGCATGGTCAAAGACCACTGAACCACACTTACTGAAACTAAAGAGGCCTTTGGGAGATGGGGCTTGCAGAAAGTTCAGACTTTGGTCTTTGGCAGGAATTTGTATGCCACTCTTAATGTGAGCTCCAAAGGGGATGACTTTGTATCATCAGCACTATTGGTGAACTTTGATCTTGGTACATTCCAGGTTTAAACTTAAAAAATTTAGCAGTGCTTGAAAAACCAAGTGACGTGCAGTTCAAATCCCACAAATCTAACAAATTAAAGCAGCTAGTCTCAGGATTGTAAAATTAAGTGTAAAGTTTCTTGAGGAGCCTTTGGTACAAACAAGTAGAGAAAAGACAAATGAAAGGCTGCTTACCCGACTGCCTTTTGGACCAGCTTCCCCTATGGGGCCAGGTAAACCCTAGAACAGAAGGGAAAAAAACAAATGTGGAGAGGCTTTAACTTAACCTAACGAGCAGTGCCAAATCCCCAGCACCGTTCCTGCGTGCTTCTGCTTTCAGTGCTGAGTCCAAGGCATATCAAACGAAGGAGAAAAAAGGACAAAATGATGCAAATAACAAATCTCCCATTGTTGGGGAGCTGGGACTCTGCAGAACCTGAGACTGCTGCTCCTACTGAGCCTTCCCCGGGGCTGAAGTAGAGATTTCTGATCATAAAGCCCAAAAAGGCTGAGGCAGCCGGGTGCAGAGAGGTTGTGTTACGCTTCAGATGCCACGCACAGGGATGCTCTGTACCCGACAGCTCTCGATTCATCTTCCTGCCTAACTGAACACATGCATAGCAAATAACAAATGTATTCCAACACCTGTTTAGGGAACGCAGGCGGGCTGTGATGCAGTGAGAAAGCCTCTCTAATTCCTACCACCTAGAAAATCACTTCACAGTGCAGGTACTGCAGTATCTCTAAGGCTTTCTGGCACCGACAGCTATAAAAAGAACTGAAAATACACTCCTCATTCTATGCCTATTGCTGCTCACTCAAAGTGAAAAAAGAACCCTGTGAAAATGCATAATGGATTTTCATGTTTATTGCCTTCTAGCAAGTTTCCAGGTATTTTTTTTTCAGTTACAAATATTGTTGGGATTTTTCAGAAAGAGAGGAAAACAAAAAAAGGCTAACTGCGTATTTACTTTAACTGGCAGCACTGCACACTCAGCCTGGGATCTGAAAGTCAGGTTGTGCTTTCCCAGCTTATGCACGGTTGCCAAAGGTTTCAGCCATCGGGGTGAAGTTAACAATTCTGCCTGTGATGCGCAAACCAAACCAGGGGCCAAGCTCTCGCCCATAGCGCTGCAGAGCCAGCACAGCTGACAGGATTAACAAGTAGTAAAATCTCAGTAGAGTACACAGCTCTGATGCTAGATACACACAGCATTCAGATATGCTGAAAAAAGCTGCCTAAAAAAAAAAAAAAAATCACTTTCCTGACCTGAATCATATTTTAAGAAAGCGCTTTTGTTCTTCATATGTCAAGTGCAAAGATTTCGCCCTGCTTATCTGATGGGCAGAGCACGGCTCTGAATTGCTAAACAGCATCCATTAACCTTGTACGTCCAATATAGCTTGGACCTCTTCGTATTAGTCATCTAACACACATTCACACCACCGAGGAGATTCTTTGGCATGCAAATCTCTAAGAGCCTTTCAGAGTATAAATGGAGCATTTAATCAGGTGCCTGAAGCTCTCCTCCACTTCTACCTTCTGCACTCCCCAGCATGCTAAGCAGGGTATCAAGGTGATTTTTCAATTTAAAATGGATCGTACATTATTGACAGCGTGAGCCAGAGTGATGCAGACTTGTTCTGCACATCTAATTCACATTTAGTCCAACAACCTGCTTATCTGGGTAAAAACATATAAATTCATGACAAGTCTGGAAGACTCATGACTGAATGTTTGGGGTCTTTGATGCCTGTCTAGTTTCCTAGTTATGCACTTAAAAATAAACATGGTGAAATCCAACATTAATGTGTCCATTTTAGAAAACCGTGATAAACATATTTCACTGTAAAATTCTTCCTTTTAATTTTCTTCCATAGCATCTCATGTAAGTAAGACAATAAAGTATCCAATCTTGATTCATTTTCCTTTGCACACTCTTCCATTCCTAAAGTTGTTTCTGTGTACATTTTTCAGAATGAAAATAAGGACTTGGTCTTCTTAAATCATTTTTTTTTTTGCAGCTGCAAATATGATTTTTATATATATTTATGGTACATGCATAATTTTATATGTATATGTAAGATTATGCTAATGAGAGTTCATCTAAATCTCTTCTCTCTGTAATACGTCGTTTTCTGTCCCAGGTTTCTAATCTGTTCAACATTAGATGCAAAACGTGCCTGAAAGTGAAGTTAGCACCTTGCAGGTATACTTCTCCATACTTCCGTTTATTTTTCCCCCTGTTGTTATACTGAAGCAAAAATTAGACAGATTTTGCTGTAGAAATTGGGGTTTTATCTATCATAGGCATAAAATACTTCCTAAAATCTCCCCTCAGAGTTGAAAGATCACGTCATTGCTACAGCATCTCAGGGAGGGAAGAAGGAAAATACTCAGACATATTCTAGAGGTCTGCACTGTCTTTAGTGGGGCGTGTATTTGGCAGGGCCTGTATTTAGCTACCTGCACACCCAAATCCCTAGTCTGTGCACAGCACGATGAGATTTACTGCACCTGCCTGCCAGGATAACCTTTGGCACCCGGACTTCCATCTGGTCCTCGTTCGCCCTTTGGAAAGAAAAAAGAAAAGGCACAGAGGGTAAGGTGAATGCCACACTTGGGAAGCCTTCTTAGGTATTTCAGTCTTTCAGATGGGGGGAAAGGAGAGCAGGATGGATTAAACTGATGGAAATTTTTAGAGACGAAGAAAACATTAGGAGTAGATAGTGGAATAAATTAATGAGGGGGGGGATACACATGGAAGCCAAGTCAAGAGGATCTGTGCATTAAGCAAGTGGTGCGATTTCTCCTTCTCCCTTCATCTGCAGTGAAAGCAGCAGAGAGTTTGAAACAAGGAGGCTATGAGAAGGTGTAAGACTGCATCTATATCTGGCATATGGAACCATTTTACTGGTGGGGAAGTCCTGCCAAAATTCTTCAAAACTAAATGGATTCATGTATAATATCCTTTAACATCATTGCTAACAGGGCCTGCTATTCATTGCCTTTTTTTTTCCTTCTGAACTGCAAACATCGACTTAAGCAAATAAAAAGGGGGGAGAAAAGGGGGAAGGGGGAGGGGGCTTTGGGAGGAGAATTGCATGTTGGTGCTTAATATGATGTGGTTAGTAAACTGCTGGTGAAATTAATATAAAAGGAAAAATAAAGGAGTAGTATTTCTTCCATCACGTGAACTTAACGTGGCTGAGCAGTAAAAATCAGAACTTAAATTTAGAAACTCCAAGGCAGGCTCCTCCCATCAACCCACTGATGCTGGGTCACAGCTGCCGGCAGCACAGGAGCTCCCTGCGCATCCCCAGCGTGCACCGAGCCGCCCTGGAACGAGTTGGCTGCCCATGCTGAGCGGGCTGGACACGATCCAATCCAGCATCGGAGTCAGCAAATCCATCCCTCTTTAAAGGTTCAGTGTTTGAAACAGTGAAGACTCACCTGGTCTCCAGGGTGACCTGGTGGTCCAGGGTAGCCTTTATATCCCTGTTGAAATAGATTGGAAGAGACGAGTAAGAAGGAAAATTAATAATGAAAGACTATGGTTTTGGTTTTTGATTTCTCTTTGCAGGTGGCCATAAGTTTCTGAGGAGAAGGGTTTTTAGATATGGGGTAGCACTACAAAGTCACACCCGCTGGGGTCTGGCCTGGTGCTTACTCACGAAGACTTGCTCTGTGAAGAGACTACGTTCAGATCTGTCTATTCGTAATCTACACCTTTAGCAAAGCCATCTTCAATCCTTAGGAATTCACAGGCTTGTATGGAGAAAAGTTGGCTTTGGGCAAGTTGGGAGACTACAGAACATGAGCCACTCACGTTTCAGAGCACTTACTTTCACCTTAGAACTTGAAATGCCATAGGAAACACCAAAATAACCATTGACTGTCATGGGAAACTTCAATTTTGTTTCTAGCTTGAATTTTTCTAGCTTCTAGCTTTTAAAATCTAATTATTAGAAGGTATGACAAGAAACACAGTCCTTCGTTATGAAGCTACCTAAAACGGTGAGCAAATTTTCTCTTCACCTGCTCTCCCTCCGCTGAATTAATTAGAAAGACTTTCTTATTCCAGCTTGCTAGCTGGCAAGTGTTGCAGGCTTCAAATCATTCTTGCAGGTCTTTCATAAACCTGCTTCAATTTTTCAGGGTTTGTTTTTGTTTTGGTTTTTTTTGAGATGCAGACACTGGAGCAGGACAAAGGTAGCCTGTTCCACAGCAGACTGATCAGTATGTGTTTTAAGAGAGTTTGCTTTCTCCAGGATTTACCTAGAGCTCTCTTCAAACACTAAGTAAATTCTGCAAGTAACAGACACTCCAGGATTTTTCCCCCCCTCTCCTTTATTATCTTGTTTCAGCTATTTAAAACAAACTCATTTCCATCAAGCGGATTCAGAGCAGATTAGAAGATTACCTTCAGATAGAGATGACTGTTTATCTGGGCTGCTAGCAAGATTTTTTAAAAAGGCATAGAAATTTAACTTGAAACAAATGCAGAGAGAAAAAAAACCAAGAAACAATCCTTGCACAAACACTACAGAAATAACAAAAAGCTTTTGGGGTGGGTTACAACTGTTCATCGTAACTCAGTCTCTGCTGCTCACCCTGTCCCCAGCCAGGGCTCCTGGCACACACCGTGTCTGCGAAACCCGCAGGGGAGCATCCCCCTGCTCTGGATGCCGTAATCAAACCTGGGTTTGGCCGAGGACAGCCTTCTGCATCACTCCCCAGATGAACCCAGGCCTGTCTCTGCTCCCAGGCCCACACCTCTGCTTAACGGCTTTTTTACTCCTCCCCTGGGTGATTCTAGACGCGCAGCCTAAGCCGCTGGCGGAGGTATGCAACGCTCTCGGCCATCCTGGCTACTACCCGCTCCCCTTTGCATTCCTCCTTGCTCGTTATTTCAGGCATTTTGGCCTGGAAATATGTTGGCTCTCTTTTCACCACTTGTCTTCTGCCTGACCTTGCTGATGTATCATCACCTGCTCTTTTGATGGAGCTGCACGCCCTGAGAAGGTGGTGGCTGACCTGAAAGACCATATGGCTACAGGCTGACCTTTGTCTGAACCACCCTGACGGTCCTTTCCCCCAGTGCTGCCAGTGCGTTTCAGGCAGAGGCTCAGCAGCTCCTGGGGCAGGACCAGCAGATGGATCTCCCTGCCCCTCTCCAGGAATCTGCCCCATGTAACCTGTCTTGCTTCTCCTCTCCCCAGCTCCTCGACGAGAGGTTCAACAACAGCAGAAAAGGAGGAGGATGCTCCAACCTCGTTGGGTGTCTGGCCTGAAGGGAAAGGCAGGTTGTGAAGGTCCAGACCCACCTGGGTGTGGAAGACCCGTTCCTGGAGCATGGACCTGCTGTGCAGATGGAAAGTGCCTGCTCTGCCCACCCCTGCCCCTGCCAGGGAGAGCTGCCAACAGACACAGCCCTGGGTTCAGCATCTCCATGCCCTGGGATTCAGCACAGAGCCCACTGCTTTCCTCCTGGGGCCTCTGCCCAGCTCTTCCAGCCACAGCCTGGAGCAGGAGCTACCTTTGTCTCCAAGCAGCTGGAGCACCAACTTCCATGGATACAAACACTTAGAGATGTCTTGCTCCCTCCACCACAAGAAAGAGGTGCCTGACTTGGCTGCTCCGAATCATTCTGCCCTGACTTCGTTCCTGCGAACAGGCATTTCAAGCCTGCAATGTCCACCCAGAGCAGGTGGTTAGAGGATAGCCTCTTGAGATGCTTAAAGCATGTCCTGAGCTAAAACGCTGCATGGCTATCCCCATAATGGTAAGTAAATGGCACTTAAATATGTAGAGTCTACTACTGTTGCATCCTATTAAATGTCCTCCTCAGTACGTATAATGAGCTCTGGGAAGCTTCAAATGTGTCTTTCTTCACAGTACGCTGCAGTTATTTCTGTCTCAGGTTAATTATAGCAAGAAGAAAAAAGAAAATCTTGTGTATGCTAAAGTTGGCTGCATTGTGAAAGTATTTACCTGTTAAAATCCTCTTCAAATAGCACTAAAATGACAGGGCAGAGGGTATGAAAACAACTGCATTTGCTCTTTTATCCAAACGCTTCCTGATGATTACAGGGTGCTCAACACAAAGGGCTGTGATTTAGAAAGGAAATTGCACTCCAGTGGAGGATTTACTCATCTGTGATGGTATTTATAATCCACTTTCTCCTAGCTAAAAAGGATCATCCTGCACTTTGATAGGAAATGTGAAGAGTAAAGAGGCCAGCGAATGAGATCTGCATGAAGGGACACGTTTTGAAGCACTGACCAATTCCCAGCTCTGTCTTTACTCTCTGAGTGACTTTAACAAAGCTTCTCCTCTCACTGCTGCTGTCTGCTGCAATCTTCTGCTCTGCTACAACCCTTTTCTCCACCACAGCATTTGAGGCTGGGAGCAGCGATGCAGTGCTCTGCTGAGATGGATCTGCAAGGCAGCTGAGGTCTGCAGCCCCCAACTGGAAGCCAAAGACACAAACACCTCGTAGGCACCAGAGGGAAGGGCAGAGGCGACAGCCAAGTCTTGCCACTGCTCTGGAGAAGCGCTGGCCAGCAGAAGCAACCTTTGCTCTGCATGGAGAGGCTGAGAGTTACATCTGCTGCTTGAAAGGCAGTTTCATATACCCGTAGATGGGCGCAGGCAAATGACTTTGGGGGGGCTCCGCGGTCAGACTCTCTAACCCTACAAGGAGCAAAGCTCTGCTTTCACGAGGCAGAGGCGCTGCGGTGTGAGCCCCACTGCCCAAAACCACATGCTGCTTGGTTGTGGCTCCAGCTCATGCTGCTGAGCCAGTTGTTTCATTCAGTGGGAAAAGTATTTTGTTTGCCCTGGTGAAATATTTTGCCTGTTTGAAAGCTTCTGCATGGCGTTTTCAGATCAAAGCCCTCATAGCTCTTTTCACAGTCCCTCCATGGAGTGAGCAGGAGGGATGTCCATTTCCAAGGCGCTGCTGTTTTCTGGTAGCCAAGATGTGTTGCCCTCCTTCAGACAAACACCAGCATATTTTCACTGGGAGAATGCCAGCAGGGAATCCAGATAAAAAAAGATTTTTTTCCAAACATTTCTCCAACAGCTGTAAAATTTTTTTCTTAATGTGGGATGCTAATAAAAGCCAGGTCACACCAAAACCACTGCCAGACTAGTGCTACTGGGAGGTGATTTTTTTAAGCTGCACCAAAGGAAAAATTTCAGCATCCAGCTTGCTCATTACTTGAAGAAACAGAAGCAAATCCCTGCCTTCACCCTGTCCTGGGGGAGCAGAGATCAGAAGTGAAGGCCATGTGCTGGACTCAGGAATGTTTGTTCAATCTCCTATTCCTTCTCCATTTTTTCCACTATGAGTCCTTGCACTCCTGACATTGCATTTTGCTGATCGTAACCACAAGGTTTTGTTTTATGAGCTGTTATACCAGGAAAATGGTATTCTTTGCACCCTATTTGTTAGACCTTGTTTGCGACAGCAAAAGATCGGTAATTAATCACTCTATTGCTCTTAGCTCCACACAGCGCCCCAAGCATGGCCAGCCTTGCAAGTAGAAAAATGATCCCAGCCCCTGCTCTTGGCAATTTGACTCCAACAGAAAGCATACAACAAACAGTCATGGAGAGGGAGAGTTTCTGTCAGCTTTCTCCACACCTTCTTTCTCTCCCCAGAGTCTTAAAGCATACCTAAGTAGGTGTTTGTGTGCAGCTAATTGGCCTGAGGAGCCATATATATCTTCAGTGGCCCATTGACTGATGAAGTGATTGAAACAAGATGCTAATTTTAACTGTTCAGCTTAGCTATGTCAATACTGGCTTGCTGGGAAGGGGAGTCACGGCTGCTGAGCCCAACCATCAAACAGTTCCCCACAACAGGTCCAGCTTCCAAAAGCCCAGGCCAACCCACCAATACAACCTGGAACTGGAAGGTCAACAGAAATGTTGATATAGAAAAGATGTGAACTCAAGGTATTGCTGTGCGGGCTTGAATGCGTGAATACAAACACACACACAGCTGCAACAGGATGGGTCTTGTACTCTATCTCCACGTACCCTTTTCTAGACATAGCTATGTTGTTGGCAATGTGAATGATGTTGAAGATCAATATGGAAGCAAATAAGGTAAAGCCCGGCTAGTGCTATCAGTCTACAAGCAATAGAGGGAAGACATACAGACACTTTGTTTGAAATATGCTTTACCAGGAAAAGACAAGTAAGGTTTCCTTGGAATGTCAAAACCTGTTTTGAATCCAGCCTTCGCATACTGATGTCAACTCTAGATCCATTTAGTTAATGTGTCAGCTGAACTAGACTGAAATTCTTCATCCCTCTGCACCCGGCGTCAGCGTGCAGAGGGATGGTGCAGTGCCGTGGGACACGGAATACAAAGAAAGAACAGAAATCTGGATCCAGAGTTTCATTTCATACTCTTACATAATCTTGCTGGTACAACCTTCAACCAGTGGCTTCAGCCTATTTCCCAGTTTATGTACCTGTGAAACAGGCAAAAGACTTGCCTTGCTGAGTACTAGGACTTCATTAAATCTTTTAGGCAGAATTAGAGAAAAAAACTTTGTAAAAATACTGATCTAATTCTCTGGACAAGAATACTCTTACCTTTCTACCAGGTGGTCCAGGGAACCCAGTCAAACCAGGTAAGCCCACGTCTCCCTGTAGGAAGAAAGCGAGTTGAATTAGTTTTCAGCTACATTTTCCCTATGTTTAGCATACTGTTACTGAAATTATTTTGTTGACAGTTGCACCCAACTACTGATATTTCTGATTCTAATCACAGCTCTTCAAAAACTGACTGGATAAGAAGTGTAGATCTAAACACCATCTCTATTAACCAGCTCATATAAATAATAAACCCAGTTAATTAATGGCAGCTGCTGCTAGAGTCCAGCTTTTTGCCAGTAGAATGAATGCTTTTGGTTTTTTTTCAATGATCTCATTCAGTCACATGTTTCATTCGCCTTTCGATAGGCATTTAAATCGCCAAGGCAAGAAAATTTTAGCTTTTAAGTGCAGTAAGAACAATAGATACCTCGTGTCAAATCCTGTGATCGTGCTCACGCTTTGCTACTGCAGTGGCTCATGCCATGGCTCCAGTTCAGATGGTGCTGATGGTATAATCATTTAACCTGCCCATATTACATGGGTTGAATCTTTGCCGCCTGCTGGTGGGAGGGTTTTTTCAGTGGCCTGTACTTTTGAAAAGGGATGGCATCACATCCCAGCTGACATATCCACATTGTCACAAGAATGGAGAAGCGCATTGCTGTGAGACCTCTCTAACATCCAATCCATTTGCACAAGCCCATTTTGGCCTCCTCTCACGAGGATCAAAAAACCTTTCGGAGTGTCTAACACTGTGCTGTGCCTGCTTACTGAAAATGCTTTTGGAGTATCTAGCCTGAAAATTAGGCATTGCTCCAAACGCCTGCTGGAAACTCCTTGTTTCTATTACTGCTAACAGGAATAAAGCCTTGTTAACATGAGCTAGAAGTGATCTGGATCTCTCCCTTTCTCACACTGAGCATGCTTGCAAGAAAACTGTTCTCCAGGCTCGGAAGGTAGATGTGATGCCATTCTGATGTAGCGTAACAAATTTCAAAAGGCATCTCGTGCTGTTAAAAGCATTGTTTCAGACTTAGCCTTCTCAATATTTTCTAGCATCACCCTCTGTCTTGCATTTGTGTGGCTTGCAGTGCTTCACGGAGGCATCTGATTTCAAATGAAGGGCCCAAGTCCTTCACAGCTGATGCTTTCTATTAGCTGTGCATTTATAGTGAGGCTTACAAGGAAAGAAAGAGAACCAAGGTGCTTGCCCTGGACATGAGTTATGAAGTATTTTCCAGGCACCACTAGAAGAACTAATTGAGGTAGAGGTTGTGGAGCCCTGATTGCTCTACTATTCATTTCCAGGCTTCTGTGAGGCCTTGTTGCCTCAGTAAAAATTGTTCAGCTGTGAAGCAGCAAAAATGGGAGCTGTGATTTATTGAAAAGGATTAGTGGAACTCTGATCCTTAACAACTGCTAAATCTAGAAACCAGCTACACTTCCCAGCTGTGTGCTTTGTGTTGGTTTGAGTAGACCTTGGTGGGAAGGCTCCTGCTTTTTGCTTTTCACAAAGCGGGGTCCACGTGTTGGCAACGTGATGGTCTGCGAAGCCTCCCTCCCTCCAGCAGCAATCTGCTGTGGGCTGTGCACGTGGCGCAGGGCAAAGCACGGCTGATCAGCTCCTCGGCAAGAACATCCTTGCCTTTGCCTTCAGGGGTTTTATTACATAGACCAGGATTGCCTCTTGCTGCAGCTGCGTGCCCAGAGCTGGCAAGGTGTGGCTGCCTCTCATCCGTTCTAGTTTAAATACTCAGCTCAAGTAGCCGCGTGCCTGCAGCAGCAGCGGCTTAATTTTGGGCTGCAGATTGTGCAGATAAATGGCTAAACACTCGGACAACAAAAAGCTGCTGCAGCAGGCACTTCAGTGCACTGTGGTCAATACCTCAGCTAATTCTCTTTAGTCCCAAATCTGGACTCTAGGCCTTAATTTCCAGTCCTAAATCTAGCTGAGTAGCTGTGAAGCTTGCAGCTGCAGTAGAAACTCCCTCCGTGTGTATGCACGGGGGTTAAAGCACACTGTGGTCATGTTGCCTGTGCGCTCTGGGCAACATCTTACCTTCTGTCCATTGCGAGCTTTTCCAGGTGACAGCCCAGGATCACCTTTCTGACCCTGAAATTAAAAAACTTAAATTAATGATGATCCAAGGACCCAGCCCAAAGATGTCATTCTGCTTCCACCGAACCTCTAAATTAGAAAAACATTTTGTTTTATCTCCGTCTTGCGCCGACATCCCAAACGTATTAAAGTCCCCAGGTAGAGCTGTTTTGCCGGGGGTGGTTTTGGTGAGTGATTGCTGCTGCTAAAGTGTTGAGTTTTAAATAGTATTTGACAGTATTAAATTGACTAAAGAAAGGGTAACTGGAAGAAGGCAACGTCAGGACTTTTGATACTTATTAGACTAGACAGCTGTGATTTCTTCCTTGTCTACAACTACCATCACAAAAATAATTGCTGAGCCTATTACTGTGGTGAAACCATCCTTCTTAACAACTTGCTAGATGCTATTGCTTTTTTAACTGTGGGGAACAGATGAAACTTCAGAGAAAGTTAGACTAATTAGACACTACCAACAGCCAGAGCAATTGTGAGTCTTTCAGGCTGGCAAAAGAAAGAGGCACGCTTTATCTTAAGTGGCAGTATTTTTTTTTTGCCTTTTTAACAACCATGATGAGAAAAATTACAATTTAAGACCATGATCTTTGGACAAACACAGGCTGAAATTTCGGCAGCATTTGAAGATCTAATTCCAGTAGATTCCTTTGAAAATCTCAGTTCAAATTCTTATAAGGTGGAAACGTAATGTGTGCACCTTACAAGGCGCGAGATAGAAGTAGGAAAAACTAGAAGGGATTTGAAGCACGTCAGATTCTTTTGGCAGGGGAGAAGAAAGGCTTAGCACACTAAGAAGCTTAGGTCTGTCTAACATCTCCTCTGGCACAGCTAGGACACAGGTATCCCAGAATCAGGCACTGGCTGTATAAAACCCCTGGGATCATAAACAAGTCACAACCTCTGTGCCACATCAGCAGCACGGCGTTCAAAATCAACCGCCAAGCACCCGACACTTGTGGGGGCTCCTTAATGGCTGTCAAGTGAAGTGCTTGGAGGGAAGGCAAGACCCTACAAAGGACAGTTAGTATTTATTATTAACTGGTGTTTCTCACTGGCAGCGCAAAGGTCTGGTTACAGCTGGACAAGCAGCCTTTCCGTGCAGCCTCGCTGCGACTACACACTTCCCACCTTGCACAAAAATGTAAATCTCCCCTTCTCCTCCTCCGCCACCCACCACAAGCTGTAAGGTTCGGGGAGTGAAACTATTTGGCTACGGACTGTAGGGAGCACTGCTGATTCAAGGCAGATGCATCTGTACAAGCTCTGAATGAAGGCTGCCTGGTTTCCAAATAGTATATGAAGTCACGCAGATAATCTTGCTTTGCATGCAGCTGTTATCAGGGCAATTCTCTCACTCTCTGAGCTTCAGAGCAGTGAGTGGGTGCTACAATTGCTTGGAACAGATTAGAGCAGTCCACAGGATCACAGGGTATTCATTTCTACTCTGCAAAATTAATTTACTGCAGCAGGAAGACACCCACCGCTCTCCCTAAATCTTGCCATGTGCTCAACACAATGAATTTGAGCCACGTAAAGGAATACAAGCCTCTAACATTTTTTCCTGCGAAGCTCTGGATCACATTAGCAAAGATCGTGCTTTACATCATGGTTCTGTGTTCAACTCTGCTGAGTCCATCTCACAGGTGGAGAACTCAGCCACAAGCACGATCACACATCCCTAAGATCAATCAGCAAGATGGCATCAGGGCCAGAGAGAACAGATGTCTGGAGGTGAGGGCTGAAATTGTGGATTAATTGTCCAACTCTTTTTCGTGCAGCAACTACAACATGGGAATTAGTCTAAGACTTCTCCATCACTAAGCCGCAGTGTCCTGCCCACCAGCTTCTCTCTTTCCCATCCCAACTGCCTGAGCACACTACTGCCTCTTGTAAAGGAAGAAATTGCTTTCTTCTGTTTTTTTTCCCTACCTGGGAGAAGTCCAGAGCTGTGCAGCTTCACCACCTCAGCTTTGCAGTCCCACTAATCACATTGTAAACATCAGTAAGCCAAACTGATGAGCTATCTCAGAACCAAAATATTCACTAAAAGGCAAATTTATGTTTTCCTAGCGCTATAACAAGAGAGATTTATCCAGAGCAGCTAACTAAGCAAACCATACTAATGCCTGATGCCAAAAGCCTCCAGGTGACAGATGCAAACCCAACTCTTGTAATGGCTTTCAAAAACACACCTTTTCTGCCAGCTAACTCTCCTTCCAATCTAAAACTCTACTAAAGCATCCTCTGAGCTACATCTAGTCATTAGCAAAAATGTCCCTCCTGTCCCCTGCCCCTAGCAACTTACAGGTCACACAGCCAGCCACAGCCTCAGCCCAGCATGCGTCTACAGCCATTTAAGAGGTTATCTTCTATAATTAGTCTTTGCTAACTAGATGCAACACCAATTTTGCAACTGCCAGAGACCACCAACTGAATGCAAAAAGTGACAAGAAACGCCCTTTAAGCAGTTGCACGTTATAAATTTCTGAGAAAAGCATCATGGGCTAAATTCCCAGGTGGCACGAGAGGGTGTTATGCCAGCGAAGTCAGTGGAATCATGCCCAAGCAGATCAGCAGGAATTTGGCTCGACAGCTATGCCCAGCTCTGCCCAAAAGATCAGCTTCCTAAGTACAAGGAATTACAAGCGCTCAGCCCCCATGATGAGAATAAGGTGGACTCTGCACAGGATCAGTCCAGAAACTCTGAGGTCCAACACCACAGCGCTGGTGCTGAGCGGTGCCATCCAACTCACGAGACAAGCACGACACAGCACACCTCTGCCAGCTGCGATGCTACGGCACATCCCTTGTACACAGCCCATCGCCTGGCCTGGTGGGAGCTCTGTCCATTCAGCGATAAAAACTATGGGTTACTTCCTAAGCGACAATGACTTGGTGTTAGTTACATTTCCAAGCTGTATTTATCTGGGAAACTCCAGTTGCCTTTTGGGGATTGCTTATTTTTTCCATGGTATTATCTGCTATCTAGGGAAGAACTAGTCCAGCAGCCACTTCAAGGCTCTCAGCAAGAGAAGTTCTAGTTGGGGCTGCTCTGCCTTGTCACCCAGGCTGAGCTTCCACAAGCTTATCATCTCAGCCACGGGCTGGGTGTGCTAAGAAGGTACCAAGTGCCAGGCGCAGGCTTGCCAAGCCTGGTGAAGACAGCATTAAAAATGTAAGGTGGTGAAATACCACTTTTTTTTTGTGCAAAATAAGGGGGACTGGCGTAACACCAGAGAAACAAAGGCAAAGAAGGAAGTCAAAACTCTGGATCTGATACACACCTTCAAAAGTGCTTCTGATAGAAAGATCTTGCAATCATGGCTTACCAGGCTCTCCCTGCTAGAGGTGAAGTTATGCCCAGGCCTGGATTGAGCTACAGCTCTCACATCCCATTGCAAGTTTAACACTTGTTTTGATGAAGTGTCATGTAGAACAGCCTAATCCTGCAAATGGTGGCTGGACAAAACTAAAATATATCACAGAGACTGATGACACCAGATCTCTGCTGCAGATATTACAGCAATCCATCTGCTGAGGGCTTCCTGCTGCCAGACTGCATATCGAGATGGAGAAAAATGCTTACAGAAAGTTTTTATTTCTAATAGAAGACTGATTGAATATGGCTTTTCAGCCAAATGATGATTTCTGACACGACATTACGCTGTGTTTAAAAAAATTCCTATAACATGGAAACATAGTTTGACTTTACAGATTGGATCAGGCTAAATTTGCAGGACTGGAAGTTAGATAAAAGCACTTTGATTTGTCTTATAAAACTCAACAAGTTTGATCTGGAAGTCATTGATGGAGAATAAACGCAGAATACTAAGGTGTAGAACTTTTACAGTCTCCTTTTTCAGGCCTTATAACTACACTTTAGAATTTAAAACAGCTGCTGTTCACCAGCATGTCTCCAGTGCCTAATTTTTAATCATGTAGAGGCAGCATGCCAAGTTTCCAAAATCTTTTTCCCAGAGCATCAATAGTGTTCATAACATCTCTGCCTACTGATGAGATCATGAAAATAAAGGACTCTTGCTTGTACCTTCCTATATGTTTGGCTGAGACATCCTACAGCTTCCTAGGCTCCATTAAACCTTGATTTTCAAAACTCAACTCTTCTTTAGTCCCAGACAGGGGTTATAAAATAAAAGTCTATTTCTCTGTAAATAATGACACCAAAACCAATCCAAACCAATTTCCCAGGAACTTCACAATGTTTAGGTAACAGAAAGCCTTACACACAGGAACAAGCTGGGAATTAAAACATCTTCCTGAAGGGTTTTGTGGCAACCTGGGTTAGCTCCCTTCTGGAGCCACCTCTGTGCCCAAGTCCCAAGCAAAGGGAGAAGATTCAGCTGCGGGGAATGTGTGTGCAGGAGAGAAGGGCAAAACACAGGGCTCCTGGCACTGCCAGAGAAGGTCTTGAGCCCTCATGGGAGACATGAGGACATCTAGGAGGAAGCAGCAGGATCAGTTTGGGAGGACTGATGGAGCTCAGGGTTCTCAGAAACTCAGGAGAGGTAAGGATTGACGAGGGGGTTTCAGGAGAAGGGAGGCAGAGAAGCTGCCGCCCCTGTCTGGACCCAGAAGCAAAGCAGCAGGCTGCAAAACCCAGAGGTGAGAAATAAGAAGGCAAAGAAACCTGGACCTGTTGAGGCTCTGGAATGGGAGGATCCCACTCCCCTTGTCTCAAAATAGTAGTTTCCTTCCTGGTACAGGCATAGCTTAAGCAGGATCCTAATTTGGCAGTCTCTGAAACGAGGGAGAACCAAGAAACGAGGCTCCCAGCAGGGTCTCTCACCAGCACGGGAAGAGGTTTTGGCTGTGCTGCTGGAGGGCCTGTGCACGAGCAGAGGGGAGAAACAGCTTCAGCTACTAGTCATTTCATGCAGAACAGGATGAAAAAAAGCTGGACTTCCCCCACCGGGACATCTCCTGAAACAGGAAGGTACAATATCCTTACACTGATTAATACTTACTTTCAGGCCTGGGGGGCCAGGTGAGCCAGGATTTCCGTGGGGACCTGGAGGACCCTGAAAAACACAAATAAACACAAAATAGAGTGAAAAGGAGTCAGTAAGCAGCTACGTTAGTCCTCGGAGCTGCAGAAAGCTGCAGGCTGTGGCCAGCAGCCTGCACCCCAGCAGAGAGATGGCTTTAGCAGGACCCACCTTCCACCTGGTAAAACCTGGCTGGTGGTTCCTGCCTGCCTTTACGCAAGGGGACACGTCTGTCATCCCGAGATGTGTCATGAGAACAAGATGATTTGGGCACACTGAACATTCCACAGCCAGGCACAGAAACTATCTCGGGGTCAGGGGAGTCAAAGCTCTGCAAGAAGCCCCAGAAGAAAGAGAGGGAGGGAAGCAGAAGTGTGCAGGGGTGTTAACTATTTTTTTTTTTTGGCCAAAATGGAAGAGAATAAAAGTAATTACTAAAGGGAAATTGTTCAGCTATTTGGGATGAACTCATTTCCCCTACAAGGCAACTGGACTTTTGCCTTTTGAGGCTAGAAAGAGAATGGATGACTGGACAGCAGAACAGGGGGAGCAGAAGTAAGTCCCTGTTTAAACCATTAAAATCTGTATTTTTGCATAGGTCTCACAAACGAATAACTCTTTCAGAGTATTTACCTCAGATCACAAAGAAGTATCTCCTTTTACATCATACTTTAAAAACACCCTGCATATTTTTCAAAGACTATTTAAGGAGTTATTTGGAATAAGCAGCTAAGAATAGTTTACCCCAGGATTGTATACAACACAGAAGATCTGTTAACCTTTCAGGCAGAAGTAATAACAATTCTAAGTCCTCTTGAACACGTTCCTGGGAGATGAAACAACCTGAAGATTCATTTCCAAAAGCTCCTGTTCTGCCAAAACTGTGTGCAAGCTTTACACCACCAAGACGAGCCCTTGAATGTACCCTCTAGCTCTAGTTAAGAGGAGTGAAGGCTGGGGGATAAAAAGCCGCTCAGACACTTTCTCAGGGAGCTGTAGGATTCCCAATGAGCATTTCAGCATGTGGGGCTAAAATCTTCAGGGTCTGATTTCCAAGGAAAATCACCACAGTGAAAACATGCGACTGCCATCCAAGTTCAGTGCCCTTGCTCTCTTTTGGGAGAACATCAGTGCGCTGATGTCCATTCAGTTTTCTTTTTACTGCACTATAATAGAAAATAATGGTTTTATTTAGCTATTGCATCTTGCGGTATAGACAGCTGTTGAGTGCTCATTGCTATTTCACAACACATGCTGCTCTGCTCTAAGAGGCTGAACTTTTCAAATGACATTTTTAACCCAAGTAAATGTAATGTCCCATTCTTAAATTCCTTCCAAATTTTCAGCCTGAAATTCTCCAGTAGTTTAGCCTGGTTCTCAATTTCCAATGAAATGGAAGAAACTTATTTAAAATAAAGGTGTTTGAGTATCAAATTGCCATTTGAAAATCCATTCAGCTGCTGTAACCAGAGTGACTGAGCACTGAGTAGTCTTAAATAAATTCATCTTCCCAGAAAACTGTGGCATCATCTGTTCACCTCATTGAGTGGGACACCAAAACAGAGACTTAATCTGCTGCTTAAGGTAATTCAACAAGTCTGCAGTACAGCTCAAGTCTTCCAGGTCTCAAATATGCATGAAAACGAATATCAAGCGATAGAAATCAGAACAGTAAAGTCACTATAAAAGATGAGTTCCTAAAAAGCTCTTAAGCAATAATCTAGGTAAGTTTGGAACAGCATTCGTAAATCCAGATTGCTGCTAGGTTTGAGGAAGGAATTCAGCTGAAGGTCAACTCTGAAGTCAGGCAGGTTGGCTCAAAGCCCATTTCATTGCAGTTAGTTGAAATCCATGCTCCACCGTAGCCTGGGACAGGCTTAAAACAGTGTCAGATCAGAAGGAACAGCATGCTTCGGTGTGACTCCTAGCAGAAAATGATAGTTTCCAGGAGGAAACCTAAAATATAGGAAGCTCAGCTGCTGATCAAGAACTCCGGGATAGGAGACTAATCATACCCCCAGCAAAATCTTGTTTAGGCTCTTCCAGTGCTAAAACAAAACACAGCGACAAATCATAAAAAGTCTTAACCAAAAGGAGGGAAGAAGGGAGAAGGAATGTAGTCCCAGTATCCATGAACAAAACGTGTGATTATGAAAAACACAGGCTCTTGACATAAGATGGAGCCTTTATCACCAAATTCAGTGAGACCCATAGCATGTAATCCAGGCAAGGGAAGGTCAGAGAGTCATCCTGCTCCTAAAGACCAATGTAGCCTTATCCTAGTGAGAAGAGGCCACATCCTGCTGATGAAGCAACAGTGGGAAGTCCAGTCTGGCACAAAAGAAACTGCCGTAATCACGTCTGGGGCTTGTGCAAATCACTTTAAACTGCTCTCCTAATTGTGGAGAGAAAAGGGTGTAGTCTGGCAGTAGTCCTAAAAATGGTAAAAAATAACTGATCTTGATGTGTTCCAACGTGATTAGTCCCGAATCCGTGATTACACCCACATTCTTGGCACGGGAGGAAAGATGTGGTGCGGTACAGCTAGATGGGCTGAGTAACAAAAGGTACAGGACAGTATCTGCCTCGGGAGTTGTTAGCAATACAAAATCTGAACTGGCAGGCCTTACAAATAAATCTACCAATTAATGTACCAATCTGCAAACCCCAATAGCAGTCATCATGCCCCCGAGCTCCCCACCCTTGTTTTATTAAACCCAGTCCAATGTTCATTCCTCTCCTCTTACTGCACTCAGCAGAATTACCCATCTCCAACCAGTGTTCCCACAAATAGCCCTCTTTTCATGGAGAAGCAATCTAAGAGTTAATTGCTATGTAGTTCCATAATTAATTGCTCTATTTTACTCACGCTATCCTGGACTTAATTCAATTTCCCACTCATATCTAGAAAGTGGGCTTCTCCTAAATATATTTATCACCAACACATTAGCTTTGATCCTCTTTCTACACACAAGATGGGACAATGCTGAGACCATAGAATAAAAAAAAATCCCACAGCACATGTTACTATTTGTACATGTGCCTGTTTACCCACTCGCGTTGGCTGCTTTTTAACCGCTGAAACAATTCAATCTAGCAGCAAGAAAACTCGCATCTGAAATCTTCCAAGCCTTGCACCAGAAATTCCACGGAAAAGCGCAAAGCACGGAAACCAGAACAATCCCTGAATGTGTCCTCTAAGTGACAGGGTTGGGGTGGTTTTTTTTTCCAAAGGTGACGGCGTTTGCAACGTCCCTGGAATGTCTTTTACTTGAATGATGCTATTTGAGAACTACACTGTGCCATCCAGTTCCCCTCGGTGACATGCCTGGAGATGGGACCCCGGTCACAGAAGCGCTTTTATGTGTAACGGTTCACAGTCTGCAAAAATTAACAAAAGTGGAACTGTGCACAGCTCCCCCCACCCCTCCAGCATTCACAAGGAGGGGAAAAAAATCCTCCAAACTCCTGCTAAATACAAGAAAGCTTCGGAAGAATGACCACGCATTCAAAACTCATTATGTCTTGGGGTTTCACTGTGTAAAGCAACTTTTTCTGGTCCTGACCTACAGATTCCACTCTGACCTCTGGCTTGCTGAAAAATGAGCTAAATATTTGAAGTGAAGCCAAACAAACTGTTTCTTTAAACATCTCTTTTCAGAAATTGGAAATCCTTCCTAATGGAACGGGGATACTGGGGAACCTCTACAGCTGACTAAGTTCTTGCTTGTGTTAGGAAGGAAGCCCTGCATTTTGAAGAAAAGGGAGATTTTTCGCAACGACAAATCAAATGTAACAGGAACATGATACACTGGGACCTTGCAAGCTTTCAAGCTGCTGAGGTTCACAGGAGGGTGGCAAGAGCATCCCAGACCATGAGGGAACACGTACGTATTCTCTTCGCCCATCCAGCTGGATTTCTCCTGGATTGTACGAGAGAGGTTAAATAAAACAAGCAGTTGCACCATGCCAGGCTGCTTCTTCCTTACTCTGCCTCTGTTGCATGGACATGGGTAAAACACTCCCCTTGTACCTGAGTTTGAGTGATCTATTAGAGAGGGAGATTGACTTCTAGGGGAACCTGGCCTCCTAAATTTCTTCAGTGTTTTGGAAAGTTTGATGATGGCTCTTTTTTGCTGTCCTGGGAACGAAGCCAACAACCGGACTCCTGTTCGTCCCATGGCAGCTTGCTGTCTCCTTCACGTAGGAGGGGAACAGATAACTAGCATTGACATAGCGCTTATCTGGAAGGCAGAATTTAAAACCAAGTATCAAGGCTTGCAATACTTTAATGCAGACCTGATTAAGTTGTGGGTAGTTTGCTGGTCTAACTACACCAGTGAGGACTTGAATGAGTGATGAACGTAGACGTGCTGGCCAAAGCCCCTCCTGCAGACAGCACGGGAGCGAAGGAATCGAGTCCTGGGTGAGGCAAGAATAAGCTACAATGGTGCAGAAATTATTGCTCCACCGGGAGCCCTTTGTTGACAGTTACTTGTAGAGCTTGTTAGCACGGCTCTGCGAGCAAACCCCAGCCCCGGCCACTGCCTCCCTGCTAAACCTCGATATTTTAAGAAATGCAAAGGTCATTTGCAGAAAAAAAGCGCGACAGGCATTGCTCGCACGGAACTGCTCCGCTCGGGTTGCTGTGCCACCACCCACACACACAACCCTGGAACAGCTGTCCCGTTACGTGTCCGGCAAAGCGCTTTTGCATTACATAAAGCTGGGAAAACCCTTCCTTGGTGAAACTGCCATTCTCTTCAGGGGGCACCTCAGATCTTACAGATGCTTGCCAAGGCACATGGCACATTTATCTGAGAAGAAGTGGTGTGGATGGATCTCTTGCTTATGCCTCAAATTCTTTAATGCAGACATAAAAGCTGAACACTATCCTAGCTGGGTACAGAGGGAGAGAAAACTTCCTCGTAAAGTGCACAACCATTACAGCAATATCGGTACAGGTTTCCAGAGCTCCCGAGACACTGTTATTAGCAGTCATTTCCAGTCATTGGAATTGCAACATTTTTACTCCTTTCCTGAAGTCCCTTAGGCAACAATGAGAAGAACAACCCGCTTTCCTTTGCTCTGTATCTCTGCCTTCACCGTTGCAGAGGGAGGAGAGCATTAAGCAGAGTCCCTGATGCTAAGTGATAGGGTGTAAAGTGAATTCCATGCTCCTAAAATGCAGATTGTCTTTTAAAAATTGAGAAACCATCATTTTCAAGAAGACTGCCACTATCCACTTGGTACCCTACCTCGGGTTGCACTTGACTGCTGAGATGTGTCCTGAACACAACCTCTTTCATGCCTTTCCAAAGACTGGCATTTGTCATTGCGGATGAGGTGGCCTGGCTTACGTGGAAGAGCAACATTCAGACTACGCAGGCAAGTCTAATGATAAGGAGACAGAATCATGGGATCAGCCAGCTTTTCTTACAAATTGCCATTGACCACAGTCTCACCCGCAAAGCAAAAGCTAATCAGACCTTTCATTTTATGGGGGAAGGAAAGCAAATAGAGAGAATACAGAATTCAAAGGAGTGGAAATAGTGGACTACATCAGCAAGAGAGCAACATCATAGACTTCACAGCTACAGGTCATGAGTCAAATGCTACTATTAGATTTTTAAAAGAGACAAGTACCTGTATAAGCATTAATATTGTAGAAATTACGTAAGCTACAACAAGGACAATTACACCTTGTGCCTTAGGCCACAAGCTACATTGGTGACAAAAAAAAATTCCTTCCTTCTCCCTGGCATCCAGCACTGCAAGAGTCACCTCCTCTCAGGAGCTCCAGTCTTGGGCTGGACCCTGGCGGGACACCTCCTGGGATACCCATGGGCTAGTGTACGAGCTCTGCAGCTGCTCTTTTCGAGGATCAGGATAGGCAGGGGCAGCACTCAAAAGTAACAGTGCAGCACTGCAGAGGTTAAGTGGCTCATGCACAACGAAAGCAAAAGATACAAGTATTCCCCTAAGCCTGGCTTCTTTGCAGCTCCTCTGCAACGAAATCCTTAAACCCCAAAGAACCACAAGAAAAAAACAATACTAGAAGAAACACATTGCAAAGTCAAAACAACTTAAGCACAGTGCAGTTCTGTCTCTAGCATCCAGGCCAGACGTTTACAGACTGACCCTTTTGCCCCCTCCCAAAATCAGCACAGCCTCTGCAGAGATCCGAGCCCAGCCAGGCTCAGCTGTGCTGAGCACTTCCTAACTGGGAACTCTTTCCTGGGCCAATTCTCAGCACCTCTGGCAAGGACCAAACTCAGAAATCCACTGTTGCTTATTGTTTTTCAGAGATATGTCTTAAACGTAGGATGGAGCATGCCACAGCTGGAAAGTAACACCAAGTCATGACACCATTTCCATAATGCTTTTTTTTTTTTTCCCCCAGAAAAACTCAGGTTTTGGTAGGTAGTGGGATTTGGATGAAATTTGGTCACTCACACAGCAGGCAGGGGATACAGCTGGGGTCTCCAGAGATGGAGTCTCGTTCACACCCCACAGGGTTGCAAGAAGCAACACCAAACACCTCTCCTGAGTAAGGAGCTGGGCTAAGAACAGACTTCCAGCCTTAACGCTAGGAACTGCAAACTCCAGGCAGGTGGCTGATGTGGTTACTGCTCAGGCATTTGTAAACAGAAAACATCAGGGCTGGAGAACAGACCTCATGTGGCACAGATCGTCCTGTCTATAAAACAGTGAGCTCGGTGTTATCTAATGTGTGACACTCATAGCCCAAATCAGCATTCAGGTCTGTTGGTATCCATGCCCAGGCCACAGCAGGTCCTGCAGACCTTTTGTTTTTCATTGTTACAGAAAGGAGATGTGTTTATCTTTACTGGTTACTGCAAAATCTCACAGGACTGTAACAAGTGTCCTCAGGGAATGCACAGCCTTGGAGCGCTCAGCCTCTTGGTTGTTCTTTAAAGACGTTACATGAGGCTGAGTTTTAGCCAAGTATGTGTGAGGAAATCTCCATCTGCTGCCAGGCCAGGATGCTGCCTGGATCACGCATCCAACTATTCCTTTCTTCCAGCCTCAGACACTCGCATCTTTCGATTCCCGACCCGCACCAGTTCAGTGCTCAGGAAATGGACTCTGTAACCGTACCTTGTGGGACAGCACCGTGCTGCTGTGAAAACGGTGCCAACAGTTAACTGCATCCAGGTCAGGCATGTTGCCCAGCTTTGGGAGACTAACTCTGCAGCTGGGCCAACGCAGAAAGCTTTTCTGACAGCTTGCTGCAGCACTCGGCACCAGATGCCTCCTCAGCACAGCACTCGATGTTCAAAGATCTGCATCGGAATTTAATGCGGGGAGGAAGAAACTGAGGGATTTACAACAGGTCTTGTAGAATAGCTAAGATATTTTGCATTAGATCTTGAAAAGAAGTCAGAGAACTGGCCTCAGTCTGGGGAGCACAAAAGCTCATCTTTGCGTGTTGAGTCCTTGGTCCTAGACGATGTTCCCCCCCAGTAAAAGGCACAACGAGAGTGAAGGTCCTCAATGCAGTTTGGAAAACCAGGGAGAGTGAAGGACAGAACAAAAAAAGCAGTCAAAGCTAATATTCAGTGCTAAGGCTTTCAAGAAAGAGTGGACACTGGAAACAAAATGAGACAGATAGAGGTCATTCTTCTGACAGCCATTTGGAAATGTTCATCTCCAGCCTTTGCTGGTGCCAAAACTTAGCTCGAGGAGGCTGCAAATCACCAGCGTGGCCTCCTGAAAACCTCTAGCAGGGAACGAGAGAAAGAAGGAAGGCCAGACCTCAACAGTGGGGCTTGAAGCAATCATTACTCAGCCACAGGAACATACAACAGCCCTTGGAACAGTAGGACAGGCAGGTGCAAGTACAAACGGATAGAAATTTTTAAACTCCTTACTCGGGAACCTCTCTTGCCAGGGGGTCCTGGTAAGCCGGGCAGACCTGGTGGACCCTAGAAAGATAAAAATAAGAATTAATGATGGTTCTGCAACAGAATGGTGCTTCTGGTGGTGTTTCAGAGAGACCCATAATAGAACCATTTGGAGAAGACCTGGGCACAAGGGCTAGGTATAACACCACAGCCAGAATTTCCCTTCACCTTATCACTACAAAGGGATAAAAAACCCACGCACAATAACATCTGCAGAAGCGTGTATTTCCATGGACTAGAGACAGAGCGCTCACATCTTTCTGCTTTGGACCACATTCCTGTGATCACAGCTGTGTTTCACACTTCCACTTTCCTGGACCTCTGCTGTAACACAGCGGTGACACAACTGTGTCTCAGCTTTGAAGCTTCCTGCTCTGTGCTAGCACACAAAAGAATTGATGTGTTAGCACCCTGGGGAGGGAAGAACATTGTGTGTTGTAACATATATCAGCTGAGGATGTGCAGTTTTTGGTATTGTAGGTTCCTACCTGCAATGAGTTGCAACATAATTGCATCCCAGCACTTCACATTTTAAAGTGGCGTGCTATAAAATATGATAAAATTGGCGTCAATGCTGGCAGTTTTTAAATATGGCTCTGTAGTACAGGAAAGGTCAATGCATACACGTTGGAGTAACGGGAGTTCTTGGAAGAAGGTGAGAACAAAGTGAAGATATCAAGTGCCCAGCTGTGCACTGATCTGAAACAGATCAGGAGAAAAAAACCAATGAGGCTTGAACTCCCTTGAATATATTCCCTTATTTATTCATTTTTTTCAGTCGACCGGAGAATTCAGATTTCCGGAGAGCCATTTGCAACTCCCAGTAACTCCTCAAAACTTCTTTTCCCCCAAGCCAAACATGTCTAACAAGAATAGCTGTTAATTAAATGTCTCCCAAAGGATTTACATTCTAGTAGCTTGTTACAAAAGACCAGTTTTCATTGCATCCAGTGGGGAGAGAGATCCAGAGCAGCAGACAGAAGGATGCTTGGAAGGCAGCCTGAGCTCTCCAACCGCACGGTGGCCAGGAGAGCAGGTCCCAGGAGCAAAACCCTGCAGAGACAATGGGTGCACGGCGTGGAGCAGGTAAAGCAAGAGCCCCGTGGCTGCACCCTGGCACCAGTGTGGCCTCGCTCGCTTCCCAGAGGGTCATCTCTGCAGGACCTCAGTGCCCCAAGCTGACCCTGCTGCAGCTGAAGGATCGCCAGGCAGAGCAGCTCGGGCTCTACAGGGTAGCACTGGCCTTGAGGAAGATCTCCAATGCAGTTTTCAGGAGTCATCAAGCCCACGGTGTGGTTACAAACCACCTCCACCCCAGAGATCCTTACTCTAAATCTCATGTGCAGGATAAGACTTTGAGCAGAAAAAACTTGCCTGAACCATATAGGTAACTGGTGAACACACTTGCCTAGTATTACCAGCCTTCCTAAACATAAGCAGCAAATTAATTTGTATAAAAGTGAATTTTTAAAAAAAGACATCCAGCCAAACTTGGTACAGTAGGAAAAAAAAAATCTGGGGAGGAGTTAGCAAAGCCCAGGGTGGGTGTCTCCATTGTCAGGATGTCAAATTAATCATAACTTTTTTTCCCCCACTGCAGTTAGTTCTATCTGTAGTAAAGATGACAAGAAAAGGAACGTTTTAAAAGGTTTAAGAGCCTACACAGCACAGTTAATGCCCCATGCCGGGACATACAGGCGTGGACTTCTACCACCAAATCACTCACTGCTGCTTGTCCTGGAGATTTCCAGTCTCTATAGCCTGAGACACTTCATCTGACCCCTTTACAAGTTACTTATTGCTGGATGACACGATATTACTGGCCCTTGTACTAACAACCTTCACTGATACAGCTGACCCTCACTTTAGCAATGTACACAGCATTTTAACCTGCCATTGTGCCAGCTCAGGACCCCGTGCATAATGCAATTATACAGCTGTGCAAATAGACACATGATTGTACGGTTTTTTAAGCCTCATGTATAATTGTGCTCCAGAATCCAAGGTTTTATTAAAAAAAAATCCCCTTGCCCTTTCAGTTGGGAAGCTAACCAACCAAACATGAATCCAATGCAACTGATGCAGCGACTGTTAAAGGAGTTTATCAAAGATTAATTCAAATCTGTAACCTCTTTTTCATCAAAACCCACCCCCATTTACCCCTAGAAAGTAAAGTAAAATAGAAGATGCAACTGAGAAATATATTCCCTGAGTATTAGAACTGAGGTGACCTTTTCCACCTTCCTGCTAACAGCAGCTGGGATTGTACATGGTCACTTGAGTAAAAACCTTCTGCGATAATATGGGCTGTTCCGACTAAATTGAAGCTAACCAAAGGAAGGAAAGAGTTAATACCTGCACTAGAGTGGGAATGCAGAGTTAAGGGAAATGCATCTAGCTGGAAGAACACAGACAGAGCAGTACTTAATTCAGGATTTCCTATCACTTTGCTTTGGCTTAATTTGCCTTTCCTTCAGCCTTTTCTTCTTTACTCTCATATAGAGTAAAAAAAAAAACGTGACTGTGGGATGAGTGGCTAAAAGGTGCCCGTCGCTACGGCAACTGTATAAGGCAAGACTGTGACCACATATAAATAAGAAGCAAGTCAAGGAGGAAGAGGTTAAGGTAGCTGGATGAGCAACAAGTGTGAAACATGACACACTGAGAGACCATCTTCTAGCTTCTCACGTGGTTCCTGTGGAATGGATGGGACACGTACTGTGCCTTCCTCGAAACTCATTTCTGCTCTGCCCTGTGCCCTGTGCACACGTCTCTCTATCGGCTGGCTCAAGTTCTCGACTCAGAAGCCCACAGAGAACAACTGGCTTTGCCTGGGGAGAGCAACACTGAAATACACACCACGAAAAATGCACATCCATGGAGTCTGCCAGAGAAGAATAAGACTGGATCAGGTCCCAGCTACTTACGGATGCTGGATGCAGTCCCACTTAAAGCATAAGGCTCCAAGACATGGAGTAAGAGATGTCTATCAACGAGCCACCACGCAGCAAGCTGCTGGAGTCCACCGAGAGGTAATGCCCCTGCAGACCCTGCACCCACCACAGACATCTCCACCCTCACCTCTAACATGGGGAAAAGTTAAACTGATCACACAGAGCTTGTGTGGACCTTCCTGTTGTACCCTCCAGAGCACCCCTAGAGAATTCCATAGGGAGCACTGGGAAGTGCTCCAAGAGGCAGGAAGGTTGCCTTTTCCTGGCAGCTGGAGCAAGGTGTCACCCCTCTGCTCCTGCCCTCCCAGTGCATGGACGCCCCACAGGGTCGGCAGAGCTGACAGCCTCCCGCAGCGAGCTACCGTTCTCAGCGCCCTGGCTTCTCGCCTACTGCCTTCTGCAAACCGACGGCGGAGAACACACACCCTGTTATCACACAAAGCAAAATCAGACATCAAGGAGAAACACGGCAGAAGCAGACGTGCTCTCTCTTCTCAAGCCAAACAGCTGAATTGTTAACCCGCCCGAACAGTTCTGTGAAGCAGCTAATGGCAGCCACGTAAAAGTTTAACCCTTCTCAGTTTCCCATGGTAGCATTAGCAACGATGACTGATCCTACCAAATGAGTATAGGATCTATTCTAAGCTACTGCTGGGAAACTTTCTGGTGCAAAAGGGACTTTTTTTTTTTCCCCTTAGCTTTTTGAGCTTCAAATTGCAAATGAAAGATTAAGCTAAGTTGTCTGAAAGGGAAATACATCAGGCCCTGAGGCCAACAGAAATCTCCCCATTTCCTCCTGCCGCCAAGATCAGCCAGTTTCTACCTCTGCCTCTCCCACATCGTGACCTTCCTTGCACAGCTTCCTCTGCCCGCAGCAATGCTGCTGGGACCGAGGTGCCTTCAGATCTCCAAACCCGAGCAAGGCTGAACCTGTTCTGAGAGGGCTTGAAGGAAAGCATAATCGGTACAGGTGATTTGGGAAATGACTCGCTTCCTTTTGCGAGACAGCAAAGTATTCTGTAATCGTTTCCCCAGGGGCAAGTACTCAGCGCAGCAGCAAATAGCTGACGATCACCCAGGACACAATTCAGCTCATATTCCAGTACGCACTGACACATCTATACTTCAGGGTTTCTCTGATGTACTTCTGCCTCCTCTGCTCTGTACCCCTGCACGGGGTTCTCCTTTATCCCAGAAAAGGCTGCATTTCAGAGGTGGGCATCCTGCACCGTGCAAAACACCGCAAGGACCGAAGACGGAACATTCTTGCTCAGATGCTAATATATGTGGTAAAACACTAACTTCAAAAGGAGTTCAGAAAACTCATTAAAAGCTTCTTTCTGCTTTGGCAGAGCAGTGCTGAGCAGTGACCTTACCCTTGCAGAGGTAGAACCTGCCTTGCTTTCTCCCCAGAGGAACACAAGGCATATTTCACACGCACGGCCCCTGCAACAAATCTACTGTTTAGCCTTGTATGTCTGGAAAGCACAAGCACAGAGGGGCTGAACGGCTACAGGGGCAGCAGGAGAATAAAGAATTCCCTGCTCAGAAGAACAGGAGAAGACCTCATCTTGAGAAGACATGCTAGCCTCGCTTCACCCCAGCGTCCTTGCCAGGCAGTGTGCAGAGAGGGAGGCAGGATCTAAACTAAAACTCAGCTTGAAATACTGCCTAAAATAAATTTGCAATTGTTTTTTGGGAAAAAAAAAAAAACAAACCCCAGCGCTTTGGTTACTTTCTTCTCCAAGGCAGGCTTATCGTATTAAATTTGGACACATTTGGGTTTCAACCAGTTTAAAAAGAAAAAGCCCTCATAATTCTGGCAGGAACAGAGATGTTGGTGGAAAGCCAGTCCTGTAATATGATTTCCGCAATAGACACAGATGTTTATTCTGGGTCTGTACAACACCTATCACAGAAAAGTCCTTGTCCACAACTGGATTCTTAAGAGAGGGGCAGCACAATACATAACAAAAAATTAGTATTCCAAGCTTGATGAAAGCAGCTTTTCTATGGAGACATTTCAGGAACAATCTCTCCACGAAGCAGTTCAGACTCTTGAGCGATCTCAGATCTTGGAAAGAAGTCTGAAGGGGGTGTGAAGGAATAGAGGGATCCCATACTCTATCACTTGCTCTCTGTTTTTAAAGATTTATAAAAATACCTGCGTATATTTATACATTCTTTGCAGCACATTTATCTCAATCACGCTTACAACTACTGCTCTTCAAAATGAACTTTAAGCAAATAGTGCTCTCTGATGCTTAGTCATTTGCCTGCAAATAGACTTCCCTTTGGGGACAGCTCTGGTTAAATTAGCAGAAAAATTATGATCCAACTGTGTGAGTGAGGCTAAAACATTTCCCATGTGTTACACAAAGCGCGTGATTATTTTTTTTCTTATTAATGTGACTCATTCATTAAGAGACATTCAAACACATTGTGTGTTCCTTAATTTATCATAGACTGTCAGCTTGAGGAGCCTTTTCTGGTACAAGAAAGACTGGAAACAGGCACTTCATATTTTATCAGTGTTCCAAATCACCTCTCTCTCTCCCCTACCCACTGATTGAATTGGCAAGGATCAGCCTCTTTGTGAAAGGAGCCGGGCTCCAAGACAAACCGCTCGTGCGGAAGATGGCAGCTGGAGCAGTCTAGACTCCGAAACACATCTGCCTTCGGAGGAGGGCTGCCTGCCAGCGCACCGCCACACCTCTGCCCCAGCCGCCCGCCAGCAGGGTTCAAAACCTGGTCGTGGGGACATGGGGGCTGCCAGAGCCCCTGCCCAGGGGGACCCCTCAGGCTCTGATACTCAGGAGTCGTTTGAAACCCCCTCCTCGCTCCTCCTGCGTTACTCAGTGCTTCCACATCCATCTTAGTGAACTCAGCCCGCTCAGCATCCCCTGGGGTTCTCTCGCTCTAAAAATAACTCACAGGTGATTGTTCAAAGAGTCAATACGGTGGGGTTTTTTGTTTGTAGGGGCCAAAGAGGTATGGAAAGGTCCAACCCGTGGTACACTGTGGACAACTCAGCTAGACCCAAGGGCAAGGGATTTGTTGCAGCTTTCCCACGCAACAGGAGGCGTGCACATCCCAGTGGCAGTGCCGATGCGCAGGGGGAGAGGGCTAAGGGTCTCTAAATCATAGAATCCTAGAATGGCCTGGGCTGGAAGGGACCTTAGAGATCATCCAGTCCAACCTCCCTGTCATGGGCAGGGACGCCTCTCAACTAGATCATGATACTGAAGGCTCTGTCCAACTTGGCCTTGAACACCTCCAGGGAGGGGGCAGCCACAGCGTCTCTGGGCAATTTATTCCAGAGTCTTGCCACCCTCGTACTGAAGAATTTCTTCCTAAGGTCCAATCTAAATCTATCCTCCTTCAACTTAAACCCATTTCCCCTTGTCCTATCAGTGGACACTCTTGTAAAAAGTCCCTCCCCAGCCTTCCTGCAGGTTCCCTTCAGGTATTGGAAGGCAGCTGTTAGGTCCCCCCAAAGTCTTCTCTTTTCAAGACTGAACAATCCCAGCTCCCACAGCCTGTCCTCGTAGCAGAGGTGCTCCAGCCCCTGGATCATCCTTGTGGCCTCCTGTGAACACGCTCCAACAGATCCACATCCCTCTTATGGTGGGGATCCCCCCTCAAAGCTGCTGCTGGTATAGACAAGCAAATGATACTCCATCCACCAAAATATTCCAACATCTATCACATCACAGCCTCACAAGGGTTTGAAAGCTTGATGTGCTGGCAACAAAATGCTATTTTTCAATACGTGTTTTTCTTTTTGTGGGTGTCCAAGCTAGTCACAGCTGTGTGCCGGGGTCACACCGCTCTACAAGCTGAGCAAAGGCTGGCTTGGCCCCACGTGGGGACGGGAGACCTTGTGAGAAGCCCAGCAGAGGTGCTGTGGGAGCCGCAGGGATGATTCAGAGGGACGTCTGCCAGCTGCTGAGTCAGGGCTGCGGTACTGACTTAGCATCATGTTCGGGTGTTCTTTCTGCTCCTCCCTTTCCATCCCCCAAGAAATTTAGAGCAGAGATCCCAAATGCTTGTGGTTATTAATAGTTCCCAAGAAATTTTTCTTTTTTAAGAATGTATCTTCCTCCCTCCTCTCACCGCCCAGCAAACCCAACATTCCTGATGAATTAATGCTCTGCCATTAGCTGCTGCATGTGGGACGCAGCGTCTCCATTTTCCGTCGCGCAGCACCACGGTGGTCTTTTCCAGGCAGATTACTCTATGAAGGATGCTGCCTTCTATTGCCAGGTAAGCAGACCCTTTTAGCAACTCCTCTAAACCACCTCTAGCACCTCCCTCAACTGTGGAGAAGGGGCCCTTCTGCACAGCTACAATTTTACCAGTTACTTTGGTAGCATTCACCAGGATTGCACAGAGATCACAGTGCCTGAGTCATCACTGCCTCACACTGCGGCTGTCATTCACATCCTGATTTTGGGATGATCAGGGTGAAAGATAGTCCTTTCCGAGTGCCTCTGCCCCATAAATCATTGCCCAGGTGGCCCCAATCCTTGCTGAGAAGGCGGAAGCTTCCCATAGTCGCCTCTCTGCCCAGAGGGACAGTCTTCGCAAAGAGTCCTTGCATGAGGCAACGCAAATCGTCAAACTAATTAATCATCCTTCCACCCGTGTGTGTCAGCCTCTGTGAATGATGTTCCCAGCCCATAACCTGCCCTGTGTCCAGGGAAAGTGCCAGGCTGCGATATCACGCAGCAGAGCAGGAAGGGCTGCACTGACCTCATCGCAACCATCTGCCCAACATCACGAGGACAGCGCCAGGTAATTACTCAAGCACAGAGCATTTATCAGCACTTGTTCTGAAACACGCTCGTCTGGCCATAGAAGCGCTACATTAATTTCTCAACGTGTCATCCCCATTCCGGTCTTTTCTCTCCTCTTTCTCTTCCCACGTCAGAGACATCCAACAAAGTATGGTAGAGAGATCTCCGAGTGAGTCACAGGAGCTATCGAGCCCTGCACGGCAGTCAGCTCCAGCCAAGCCATAACCTTTCCCTCCCCAAGTGCTGACTGTTTCCAGCAGTCAAAGAGGATAAGGCCAGACAGAGCCTCAAAATGTTCTCCTTTCCCTCAATTCAGTTGTTCTCAGACAGGATGGAAAATCCTGCCATCTCTTCTCTCAGCCCTCCACAGCCTGAATCTGTTTCTTTGCTATGATTCACAAGCTGAGAGGGATTTTCCACTCCAGTTCGATCATAAGCTCTTCACCTCGCAGGGGGAAACTGAGGGCTTGGAACTCGGTCACCCTCATGACACTTGCAGGGCGAGAAGGTGCAGAAGGTCAGGGTTTCACCGGGCTCAGAGCAGGACGCACAGATTTATCCCTTACAGGTCAGCAGCTTTTGAACAGAAGCTCACAACTGCTGAATTTCTCCTCACGCCTGACGCGACTCTCCACAGAACCCAGAAGACTACCCCAAAATAAAATCACTGAACATCACTCTGCCTACTCATAGATTTAGCAAAACTTCTCCAGATACAAAGACGGCATCAGGGATGTGACATGGAAAGCCAAGTGGAGCACAGGGCTGCCTGCTCCTCCTGCCCCTACCACGGGCAGCATCTTCACCTCTCCTGGAGATGGGAACCTTGGAACAAAACACCCCGCCCTCAGGGACTCACCACCCTGACTGCAAGGAGAGAAATCACCACCCTGGTTGAAATGGGACAGGCAGGCAATGCAAACCTCAGGGGTAAGCACCCACCGAGGGCTTAGTGCAGCACGACCATCTCACTTTAGGTGTTACTTGCAACAATGAGCAGCACATCTGCAGACACAAGTGCTGTTGTGTTTCTTCAGCCAGTCTCAATATTTCCATTGTAAACCCTTCTTTCACTATTTTAAGAAGTCAGCTGTAAAAATTTGCTCTGGGCTGGAACTTGGCAGCCAAAGACTCCGTCTGGGAGAAACTTATTTCACATGTACAATCCCTCTCTCGTACATACAATATAGCGAAAGGCTTGGGTTGAAACACCAAATCCTCCTAAAAGTTGGCCAGTTTAAAGATTCTGTTTGCATTCCTATCAAAAGGAAGAAAAAGAAATAACAAATTGAAGAATAATTTTTTTTTTTTAAAAAAAATGCTAGCAGATAATTACTGTGGCCTGACTGCTTTTAGCATTACAAAATGTGAGTATACCTTCACGACAGCCAAGATATACACCCTGAGAGTGGTTATTGTGTGTGGAATGCAGTAGTTAAATTTATAAAGGAAACTCTTTGCACATTATAAATGTGGGCTACGAGAAATAAAAAAATAATTAACTTACACCATAAAAATAAAGGAGAGTTCATTTAAAAAAAATAATTGCTGAAGCCATCTCTGTATTTGCATTTCCTGAAACAGGACACTTTTCTGGAAAAGTAAATTTCAGGTACAAAACAAATTCATAACCAGTGTTAAGAAATAGTTAATTTGTGTCATGCTTTTGAGGCACCTGGGTTTTCTTTGGAAGGTTCTGCCCTCCTGGCCTTGAGAAAACACAGGGAGGAAGAACAGAGCCCCAACCTGGCCACTAAAATTTTAACCAGTGACTTGTAGGAAGGAATCACAGAATGTCAGGGGTTGGAAGGGACCTCGAAAGATCATCTAGTCCAGCCCCCTGGCAGAGCAGGATCACCTACAGTAGATCGCACAAGTACTCATCCAGGTTGGTTTTGAATGTCTCCAAAGAAGGAGAAGGTGGGATTTTTCTCTTATTTTCTTGTTTTTGTTTTCTCAAGCCTAACATTAAGCAGCAACTTTATTCACAGAGCGGTGAGATAAAAGCTAAAACCATCACCATCAGAAACGTAACAGTGCTTGGCTGCTATTGCGAGCTGCCACGCTGTGTTACAGAAACCCTCGTAGGTTTTGGTCTGCTAACTGTTTAGCCGAGCTGTGGCTGGGAAAAGGCGACATTAAGAGCATGAACTTACCTGAGGTCCCCTCTCTCCTTTCACTCCTGGATATCCCAGTAAAAACGGAAACGGAGTGGGGCCGAGGGGGTCAAAGATCTGGTAGCCATCAGTGGCGGCTGGCGTGGTGAGGTTGAAGGCCTGTGCCCTGGCTCTGGAGCCGGGCTGGGCAGCCCCCCGGGGCGGTTTGGTGAACACCAGAGGGACAACGCTAGGATCCGCTTTCCTGGTGGGGGACGGCAGGTGCTTCTTTGGAACAGGCCCATTGCTTGGGGTTGGTGGGGTTTGCTTTAGGGTGACAAAGTGGACATTGCTGGTTGTGTTATCGGTCATCCTCCTCGCCGGCTTTACCGTATTGGGTGCTACAGAGGGCTCAAGGGTGGGTTTTTGGTGGGTCTTCTTTTTGGTCTCTTGCTTGGACTCCTTCCTGCTGGCCGTGGCGGGGCTCTGGCTTGTTGACAGGGCCTTTTTGGCAGTGGGAAGGGGAGTTTTCTCCATGCGCGTGCTGGGAGTGGGCCGAGAGACCCTGAGGGTCGTCACCGCCCCCCCAAGGAGCGAACGGGTAGGTGGCTGAGCTTCAGCACCTGATGGAACAGGAGATGGGGCCACTGTGACTTTTGTGGCTTTGGTCGTCATTCTTGACAGCGGTGGTGGGGATGATACCGAGGCAATGGTTGTTGCACCTGAACCTCGAGTCTTGAGACGTGCACTGACCCTGCCAGACTCCAAGGACGGGGCAGCAGTGGTCAGGTTTTTCAGACCCTGCAGCGAGGGCTCCCTATGTTAAAAAAAAGGATCCCTGGGCAGGAGGGGGATGAGGGGGGGCAGGTTCGGCCGGTATGTATCTGCTTGCCTGCACTGTTTTTTCAGGTATTTACAGTAATGATGAGCTGCCTTGGCAGAAGGATAAATATCAAACTGGCAGATGGCTCCTTCAAACTGCACGGAGTGCTGGTTTATCTTTCCAAAGAGGAAAGATCCATGTGGATCCAACGCCTCGTCCTTTTTAAAATGCAAATCCGCATGTACTCTGCGCTTCCCACAAGAAGTAAATAAAGTGACTGTCTGGCCACGGATATCGATGGCCATGTTGTGCCACTGGCCATCATGGACATTGTAATCAAAATATACAGAGCGCTTGTGGCCCACATATACTATAATCTTCCCAGGTACAAACTGGACCCCCAGCTGGAGTTTTCTCTTTTTGCTCTTAACAGCAAAGAGAAAAGCATTGTTGATGCGGTGGGAGCAGAGGCTCAGCACTAGGAGCAGGTCAGTGCTGGAGCCTGCGGGGAGGATGGTGCTGATTGATGCTTCGACTCGTGCTCGCTGAGTGAAGATGACCCCTGATTTGAAAGGAATGACTCCTTGAGGAACTGAACGTGATGAGGACCATCCGCTCGATGGCCTTTTCCCTGACAGGCCCAGTCTTTGAAGAACATCCACATCTGAAAGGAAAACACAAAGAAAATGTGAGGTGTTGGGCAACTCAAGAGCCGGATGGCTGCGGAGGGTGTCAAAACCAGGCTGTGCAAAAAGGCAACGCAATGCAGGAAACCTCAGCCATCTTCTCACATATGTATATTCAAGTAATCAGAATGGAGAGAACACAGCTCTTCCGCACTTTTTGTGAGAAGCAAGTGCCTGATCAACTTCGTCACCAGCAATCGCCAAAAGGCATCGGGTCCATGGTGCATCTGGTTAGCTAGTTTATCCCACCAGCAACCAGCTCCAGATGTTCTAGAGGAAGCTGACATCACTACAAGGAAATTTCCCACTGAGCACCAATAGTCCACTTCTTTGGGATTTAATTCTGTGTACTGACCACACAGTCACAAAGGAATTTGGACAACGGACTGAGCCGGGATTGCAAAATTTTGTATCCCCAGAAGGCAAGTAATAGAGCTTTCAAAGGGAGCAAAAGTCTTGTATCTGTCTCTCTCCAAATTAGTAAGAAGCAGCTTTTGATCTTTAAGACTCTGGAGAGTTTAGGGAAGAAAAGGTGCCTCCCAGCATGAAAAAATTGCACCTAGATTTATTAAGGTTCTCATCAGTGGTACTTCTTTTCCCCAGCAGATCATCTTACAGCCTGAAATTATTTTAATAGGCTGGAGGAACCAGACTTTGTTTGGGAAGAGCTGAGAAATTAGTTATATCTGCCACTGAGTAGGAGAGATAAGACTCGCCTCCAGCATTTGTCACCCAGGAGTTAGGGGCCTTGTTCAAGACAAGGTGAGAGGGATTGATGCCCAGAAGTACCCATCTTTCTCCACCAGCTCCAGGAGAAGCCTGCAATGGACACACAAGCAGAATCCTCTGGTTTCTGGGCCCAAGGTCTAACAGGACTCCGAGCTGTGAGGGACTCCAAGGCAAATTTAACAGGCAACAGCAACCCAAAGCAGAGCCAGCTGGCAACACTCTCAGCTCAACTACTTAACTGGGGAAGACGCCGAGGTCTATGTGAGAAAAGTTGCACAAGTAAATGTGCCCAGACCTGAAAAAAGTCCTCATGCACTCAAAAGCTTGTTCTCTTATTCCAGCTCAAAGATTTGGTCTATTAAAAGATGTTACATCCATGGTAGAGACAGACAAAAGGTAAGGCTATAATGATTACCATGACACTATCTCTGTTGAAAATGAGCTGGGATAATTCTATTTCCTTCCCCCTTCTCTACCCAAATGCAATCCCCATTACTCAATGACCAGCTAACTCTCATATTTAAGTGCTCTTTGGGGCCGTATAATCCAAATGCTGATCTCGCAAGGTAAGAATTTAACCATCAGAAATGCGGCAGCGCCAACTGTAGCTGCACCTCAGCTAACACCGCGGGATAGCAGCTTTCCTAGATTAAAAGGAAAGGTAAATCAAAGGTTGCCCAAAGTAAAAAAAATGAGCTGCTTCTCTAAAGGAGCCTTGGAATTCAGCCTCTTTTATCCTTAACTATTAAATATTCATCACAATACCAAATATTTGGAGAACTGGCACTTAAAAGAGATCCTCAGTGTTGGCCAGAGGAGTTGTAGATCCAAGCCAGTCTGAGGCCTGTAATGGGGCTGGCTAGGAAGGGTGGAGAATAACGAGAAAACCTCTGTTCCTTGACTTTGGCAAAAACCTCGGCCATTTTTGTATGTAAGAAGAAGTCAATCAATATTTACTTTGTCTGACCTCAGCTTTATTCCCATTTCCCTTTTTCTAAGACAGCTTGACTTATTTGCTAGCAGAGAGTACCCTGGAGAAGATGCGACAGAGGTGAAAGGGGATGGAAATTTTCCTATTCTGCACAGAAGGTATAATTCACCACACAGCACATGCAAGTGTTAATAATGGTACTTCTCCCATACTGTGAAATCCTCGGTCCCCTCTCTGTTGTTCTGCCTTATTGCCCAACAGGGCTGTGCCTCAGTGTAGCGAAAGTGGAGCCATCCCCTCTGCACTGAATAGAGGAATCACAGCAGTGTCTTCACACGGGATAATCTCCAGAGCCCACGAAACAGTAAAGGCCAAAGCCTGGCTTTAGCAAAGTCAAGTGGGGACCCTTGTCACAGACTTCAAAGGCATCAGGATTTATCCCTAAGAAAATAAATTTACCACTTAAGCTAGGGACTAGACTCCATCTCCCAATTTCTACAGTACGTTTATGTTCTCTCCCAGACACAGACAGTGGTGTGTCCCTACTAGGCAGACATCATTTATACTCCAGGAGCTACTCATTTGGTAGCTGTTCTGCAAAGACGTAAGGATGTTTCCCTGCTCAGAAAATGCTGCTGCTGTTTGCAATACCAATCCAACTGCCTCATTAGCAACTGCATCCAACAGTGCTTAAGAAAAAGGGAAAAAAAAGCGCAACCCAACCACTCCTTTCCCTCAAAGACCGCTAAGGTAGAGCCAAATTCTAGATGCCTACGCAAAACTTGATTAAAAGAGACTTCATGCAGGACATGTACGTGGATTTTCCAGCACCGGGTCCAGGCCCAGAGCTCAGGACTCCTGTGCACCCAGCCTGTCTGCCTCTCCATCCCATGCCGACTGCCCTGGGCTGGTGGGGCACATCCCCCGGGATGATGGGATGTCATCAACTAACATAAAATGCAAGGTAATTTTGGCTTCTGTAAGTAGCTCCAAGTTTAGCAAAGCATTTTTTCCCCTTCAAGTTTTTTCCTCTGTAGATTTTTCCATCAAAACACATTATTCACAAAAACATTAACTTAGAGCTGCCTGGTCCCAGGTGCCTTGAAGCTAGTTGCGATGTTCCTGTAGCAACATTTGAGCAACTGGGAAGAACATTTCTAGCAGACTTCGTGCATAAAGATGCACAGAGACTCCTGAACAATCACATGATCATCTCTGAAAGAGGGGATAAAAAGGTTTACTGCTCTCATTCCCATCTCTTTCTTTCCCTCTCCTTTTCCCCACGCAAAAAACTTAATAAGAAAAAACAAGCCAAAAGGCAGGAGAAAAGTAACTTGCAGCTTCTTAGATTCCAGCAGCTGAGATGGGATGCCCACAGCTAAAATTGGGTTGAATGAATGCTACATTTCCAAAAGTTACTGCCCAGACCTTTAGTCAGTGCACATCAGATTAACTCACTAACCCCGTGATCTTTTGAATTTGTAACACTTAAGGAAAAAACATCTTTTGCATTCCCTGATTTTCCAGTGTGCAGGAAGACCCCTCAGCCTTATAGTAATAACAATAGTGTTTTCAAAAGCCCATTAATTTCATTCTTACACAGATCTGTGATGAAGCTTTTACTGCTTTTTTAAATCTCATGTTTGAAAATCCTGAGTGATAATACACCCTCAAGTCATCAATGTTTCATTGATCAAGGAGTTTTTGCTCTATGGTCCCCAGAAGAGCAGCCTGTCTCCAATTGTGGGGAAATCAAGTGGGATTTTTAAAAATTCTTTTATCACAGAGAAAATACTTCAGAGAGGAGGTATTTACCACATTAAGGTAATGCAGTAAGAGCAAAGCAAAAGAGTTTCCTTTAGATTAATGGTAACAATCAAAAGATATGGCACCATCACATAATTATCAACGAAGCAAAATGATGGATAGACACGAATCTAAACAGTGTATTAAAGTCTGCTTGAAAAAAGAGACTCTAAGACAGTATTTATTCTGCCTCTTTATGAGCTGACATAAAACTGGTTCTGAAAACTGCTTGACTAAGTAATTCAGCCAGATGTTCACCTCTTTTGCATTGAAGCAGAATTTGGAAAATATTACATTTTTCAAAACTGCTGATGGCAGGGATGTCTTTTCTTTTTTTCCCCCCTGTAAAAATTGCTCCATGGGCTGGCTTACAGCTGAGCATTGACCAACTTTCTATTTTTCCTTCATGTTTTGGAGACTAAGAGGAGAGCCCTGGAGCCTGCTAGTCCACTTACTGTTGTCTACTGACTGCAGAGGAAGCTGTCCAATTCCAGCATATACCCGTGAAAAGCATCCATGTCAAAGAGGTGTTGCTATTTTAAGAGGAGATGGCTCCTTTACAAGCAGATGTTGCAGGGATGCTCAGCTCTCACTATCAACTGTAAAAGATGAATTTATTTTTTATTGTCGTTGACTCTAAAGCTTTCTGTCTCCTCCTGTGGGGTCAACCTTTTGTCCTGTCCCCAGCAACACTGGAGAGTATGCCAGGAGAAGAGGTGTAAAGACAGGGTAAAGGTCTGTGATCAGCCCCCTATGGAATACTTCTCCTACTGCACAAGGAGTGAGCCAGGCATAGTCAGTCTAGTCTCAGCCACCCCTGTGGGATTTTTCTTCCTTAAATTTGCTTTTGCTTTTAGAACTCACATCACTTCTGTATGCACAACATCTTATGGGCCTGCACAGGCATGATCAGGTTGCGTTCAAGACAGGGAAAAATCTGCCAGAGACGCTTAATTCCTTAATGCCCCAGCCTCAAGGGGCACTTTCTAAAAGCAGTTAAATACTAGCCAAGTGCAGGTAGATGCCAGTGACATTTTAGACACAAAGTGCTTCATTCCCACCAGTTCCACCAGACAGGCAGGCAATTCTGAGAATCCTGTGGGGCAAGTAATCACCTGTAAGAAAACTTTAATTCTTTTGCCAGCTGTTAACTGCATCATCTATATCATCAGTCCTGCAATGATCAGTAATAAATGTATTTACTTTTGTGCACAGGGCCCAGACATGTATAAATGATGGTCCCAAACTGATACCAAAGCACTTGGCTTTTACTTTGGTTAAAAGAAAAGAGTAAAAAAAAGAAAAAAGAAAAAAAGGTGTAATTTACCTTCAGAATTTCCCTGTGTGAATCCCAGGAACCAGGTAAAACATAATACAGTCCAGAGAAAGTAGAATCCCCTAAAATTGGAAGAGAAGGAAAAATATTGAGTTTCTACAACACTGGTAACAAAAACCAGCCCCATCATTAAGAGTCTCCTTGATCACAAGTCCAGCAAAGTCAGTGGCAGTGTCCACATCTCTGGGACAGCAGAACAGTGTTTACTTCTGACCGAGATCTCATTTTGCTACTTTAAAGCCATCCAGATCCCACTGAATTCAGCACAAGGTTTTCCCACAAGGCTGTTGATCAAACCTTCAACAAAGACCAGACCAGTGTTTTGAGACGCCAGGTCAGCAGTCCCTTTGCTACTGCTACTCTTTGGCACTCGCCCTGTCTAAGAGAGACCATCAGAAATGCAAGAGGATAGAGAAATAATTCAAAATTGAAAGAGCAAAAGACATGCCCAGAGTGCACGTCCATGAGGACATGAGTAGAAAACTGGCTGACATGCAGTGACATATCCCCTGCACCTCAGCAAACAAATTTGGAGCCCTATCGTTTTACCACGTGCTTAAAAATACCATAAACATACAAAATCCTACATGGCTCTAGTCCTCATCTTACTCCCAGATATAAAGAGAGCGACAGCTTCTAACCACTCACCACTCTATGCTGCTGCCACTAAGAACTTTCTCATTAGCTTTTAGAAAGCCTGAGAGCTGCAGACCCCGAAGCGCAGTGCTCTCGCAGACCCTTTCATGCCTGAGAAGGAACTGGACAAAACTTTCAGCCAGCCAAAATTTAAAAGCCTTCGAGTGCCATTGAAAACAGCAGCAGAGAGGAAAGCATTTACCAGGAAGGCAGCTGAAGCCCTCCCTATTCCCCACCAACTTCCCTGATCTGCAGCCAAATAACGAACATAGGAAACTCCTTGGTTAAGCTCACTTAAAACTGTCAGTGGAAAGTTTGAAGATTGAATTCCCTCATTTTCTAGAGACGATATTTAACAGCTTGATCAGCAAGGGCTGCTGGAACAACAGAGGCAAAAATGTAAGCTACAGACAGTCCTCAGCAAGAAGAAATTGGTGTGGGACATCCACAGGTTGTTCTTCATTTCAGTCAAGCCAGCGCGAGCACTGGGATATGCAAAGCAATGCCAAAGTGCAGCTTGCTCCTCTCTTCAGATCTGGCAAAGACAAATCATTTATCAAATGGGGTAAGAGACAGACCACTCTTCTCCTGCCATCAAGTCTCAGCTTTACCTCAAAAAAGTGTCTTCTGAGACAATGTACGACCCCAGGCCAGATCCTCACCCAGTGCAGGTGAAGCTAAAGTGAAGGCACAGTGATTTACACATCAGTGGGGAAACCTGGCCTTGAATATAAAAATCCAGCCACTAATATTTTAAGGCTTGAATGGACAAAATACTTCAGCAGCCCTGCAGTGGCTGGGAAAGAAATGAGATAAACCACATCGTTCTTTGTTGTTTCCGCTACCCTGACACTGGGCTGCACATTTTGGGAGCTCTGGGGCTGCTTGAGTTTATATATGAAGGAACAACAACTTGGAATATCCGAAGCACGGTGTTTCACTGTGCCCTACAGCTGGCCATATGCCAACCAGGAAGCCCTCACTATGCTCAAGATACCTTCAGCTGAGGAGATTTGGTTGTTTTCTACCCACTTCATCCTGCAGGACACAGCTGTCTGCCTGCAGACACTGCCGAGTCTGGGGTGAGCTGCTGCCCCAGTTCATTGAGGGGATGTAGGAAGGGAAGGAGAACAGGATGATTCTTCATGGTCACTTTGAGCAGGAGCCTTTTTATGACTGGAGAGGCTAAAATGCACTTCACGGGATGACCTGCATTTCTGTGCTCACCTCCAAAGGAAAAACAGTTTTAAGAAGCGGAAAAAATTCCACATGTCCATAGAGCAAAGACCTTGCTGGGTATAATCAGCTGGGTTTCACTGCCCGATGAAAGCATGGGGGTGACCAAAATGATACAAACACCAAGGGCAGCAGGAGTCCCAAGCATTAAGAACACCTTTTCTCTGGTGAGCATTGGATTTGTACGGGTACATACAAACACTCGTGCACACACCACACCTAACGAAGTTCAGGTATCTCTTTTTAGAGAGGCACCTTCACAATCCAAATTTGCTTTTCCAAAATCCCCATCAACCAACACAGTGAGGGGAACAAGCCTTAGGGGAAAATGCTGCACGTAATTTCATTCCAGCGACACTGACGGGGCTATAAAGGAGACGAATGCGCAGCGCGGGATCCAGCTGGCCTCAGTCCTGCTCCTGGACCCCTCGCACAGCCAGGACCGTAAGAGTCGAGCGTGGGGCCGAGTGCCAAAACACTGAAGAAAAACACTTTGGCAAAATCTACCATCTTAATGGAAAAAGCAAAAGCAGCTTCCAAATGGCAGACCTGTGACTGATGGAGGCTGTTAATTATTGTAGGATTTTAGAACGCAGGCTCTTTTTCCGTTACAACTCTGCAGCGACAGGATTGCATAAGCAGCTTGAGTAGCTATAGTAAAGAAGAATTCTCTCCTTATATAGAGCTATCAAACCCACCTTGCCTTTATCTCAGCTTCTTTCCACAACCAGTGACTTCCACAGAGACTCCATCATAAAGTACCCGCTAAAGGCACTTTTTTCTTTTATTGCATAGGACCTACAAATACCAGGACGAGGACCCCACTGCTGTAGTCACCAGGTGAAGAAATACCCCTAAATACATGTGACATAAGCTCATGTGAACCCTGAAAGTTTCCAGTGCAGACAAACTCCCTTTCTAGCAAACTGAAGCTACTGACTACAGCTTAATTTTGCCCCACTTCTTTTTGCAAGCTCCTGTAATAAGGTCTGTGGGAACTAACCAGTGCCAAAAGCGTAAGGCAAAAGACAACAGAGAAGGACAGAGAACCACAAAGACTGGTAAGAATTCTTCTGAGCCTTGACGATGATTATAGCATCTTCCCAGTGAGGACCATGTACAGGCAGGTAGCAGCCAAGAATAAATAACCCGAGGAGTTCCTACAAAAAGGCAGCTAGAAGGTCTAGGCACCACTTCTGCTGGGACTTCAGGACAAGCAGGAGGTCCCTGCACAGCAGTGGTATGGACCAACCTGGAGACCTGAGGAACTACTTAGTGTGCAAAGGCAAAACCAGATCCTGGGTTTTCAGCTTCCAGCCTCACTTGTCATCATCTGTCTGAGCACTGGAAGATCAGACTCCCGAGAGCAGCATGTTGTGAACTGGAGGCTAAAGAAAAGCTACCACCTCAGCAGGTGGCTTGTGCATAGCACGTCTTGCTGTGATAGCCCCAGGAAAGTCATGTTTGGGGTGGGGACCTCAACAGCAAAAGTCAAGGAAAAATCCTGTTGAACATAATCGGTTTTTACCTGAAAACCACTGGAATAAAGCACAACACTGATCTAAGGACAATAGTGAAACAACACTATTGAAATCTAAGGTAGATTTAGTCAGAAATTACCCTCAAAAAAGCACGCGTTTGACAAAGTTGAATCAATCTGTAAAATAGTTGTGATCAGTTAATTCAGTACTTTGCAATTTCTGGAACTGGTTGGAACACTTTCAGGGTTTGTTTTTTTAAATTAACTGGTTTGCCCCTGCCTTAAAAAAAAAAAAAAAGTCTTGCTTGCTTAGATGATGGGTTGAAGTTGAAGCAAATGTTACAAGGGCCCACAGCAGCATTTAATTCTTTATTCTGTTTTCTCCCTCATTTACAGTGGGGAAACGTCTTTGAAATTGCAAACATTCTTTCAAGGTGGAAAAATGATTTCCGCCACTCTCCTCCATTCAGGTGCAATTTTTTTTTCCTGTCCAAAAGACCAGAAAGCCAGCTGGATACTGAAAATTGCTTTTCAAGAAAGCAAATCTACCCTTCTAGATGCAGACCAGACAGTCTATCCTAAAAGAAGAAAACATCTATGTTGCTTAAGATCCTTTGCATATGACTGGAGGTGATATAAAACTCCCAAGCAGTTTTGATAGTCAGCAAAAATCACAACCTACATACCAAGGCTTTAAATTGCACCATGACATCGTTTCCATTCCTGGCTTTTTGAGGTAAAAATCTGATTTTGTACTAGTATCCTGCTTTACAGATCCTTCTTCTTTCAAGGGTTTATGTTGCTATCTGCAGACACAGGGCTGATGGGTTTCAAACCACTGGTCCTTGCCCTCCTAACGGGGAACCAGTCTTTGTGTATTCATTGCCACCAGCTCCTCCGAGCACTTGGGGACAACCCTCCTCCTCTGCTGGACCCGAGACTGACTGACCTGGCTGTGATGACTCAAATACCCTCTCAGACACCTTCCAGAGTCTTTCTACAGTAGGAGGCCCTTCCTGACAACCCATTACTTGATCTCCTCTTTGCTCACCATCCCTGGCTGGCTGGGTTATTAACTTTGCTGCTGTTGAAGTGACAACACTCGCTACTGGCCCTTGCCTTTGTGTTCTCAGTTAGTAACTGGAGCCCTCAACAAACAGAAATGCTAAGCGTGATCTGTCATCTAACTCCTTTTTTGTCCTTCCAACAAACGCCTTTGCATTCCTTCATTTTGTGAATGGGGTTTGGCAGAGCCGTATAGAATTCCCCATTGTTTCCATTTGCACTTCAGTAAGTGTCCATCACTTCTACTTATGCCCTCAACAAATTGGCAAAGAAAGAGAGAGCGGAAGAAAAACACCACATATGCTCTGTGTTGTCTCTGGTCAGAGATTTCCTACGAGGCCCTCACCACAAGACCTGGGCAACCCTCGGCCAATAACGTAACCTCCATAAACACTGTTTTCAAGCAGGGCAAATCTTACCCCCTGAGCCCATTGCAGAAAGGGGATGGAGATGGAGCTTTTTAATAAAAGGCCCGCTCAGGGAGGCACATGGAGGCAGCTGGAGAGAGGAGACCAAAATGCTGGACCTCAGCCTCTAACCCTGGCCATGACACTGCCCTGTCCTGCTGGGACGCAGCTCCAGGAGGCTGTGATTGCCTCCTCTCCAACCCAAAGCACCCATTGTTTGCCTATTGCTCCCGTTGCTGAATTTGTGCAGCAGTGTCATCATTTGACCCCAGATCACCTGTCTGGCTTGCATGCAACAGTCTGTTCCTCTTAAAACAGGACCTGTGCCTTTCTCCAACCTTTTCAGACCTTCTCAGGAACTGACCCACCTTGATGGTGCCAAGTGAGTGCTGTACCACCGCGCGTATGGCTTTCTCACCCAGCACGTGAGCCAGGCAGCCTCCGAGCAGCGTTATGTCAACACCCCAGGGCTGTGACAGCAAGCAGGCACCCATGAGAGGCCTCCAGGAGCATCAAGCAAGCCTCCTCTGTGGCCAGCCCGCAGCACTGGGGCTGGAAGGGGCACAGCTGAACAGCACAAGTGCCATGGTCTGGAGACATACTCAGTGCACAGCTGAATGCAAAGCCTTCTTCTGTGGTTTACTGAGCCTGTGCTCACTAAAAATGCATTGAGGAAATGATCAAGACGGGCACTTTAAGCTTGCAGAGCCTGTAAAACTCTATGTTCTTCTGGTTTTACAAGCTTTGGCTACCTGAGCCAGGACAAGGCTTAAGCACACTCTGCAACCGCTTTCTCCTTCCCTGGTGAGCCAGCCTTCCCACTCCCTTCCACAGGTCTCCAGCACGTCTGGAAGCTCCTCAGCCACCAGTCCTGCTTTAGAAGATGCTGTGGGAGTGCTGGGACAAGTAGGACCCCCAGTGCCACGTGGGAATGCACTGGGAAGTTCCCCTTACAAGCTGCCTTCAGGCAGTACTATCCTCCTCCACGCCGACGAAGACTCAGTGGGCAAGCCCAGGCACAGGCCAGCTCTGGGCACAGAGGACCCCCAAGACAGACAGCCTCAACAGGAGCATCCAGCTGTGGGAATGGCAGGATGCACAGCACTCAAGTCTGCCAAGCAAATCAAAACCCATCACCAAAAAGTCCTTCGGGAGATAATGTGAAGGGTAGCAAGCGACCTCTGCTGAGGAGGGAACGGATCAGCAGCACGCTGGCGAGGTATTGAAGTCGGAGGAGATCCTGGGAAACAAAAGGCACACATATTCAGTCACCAGAGGAGATCAAAGCACAGCTTTCACAGGGCACTGCAATACCCAAACCCTGTGCAGGCGTGCACGACGCTAACCTGGGAGGCAAAACCAAATACAGACCTCTGGTGGGTAGGCAGCCTTGCTGCCTTCTCTGGGGTCTCTGTTTCCCAGCCCTGCCCTCAGCAGGGTCCGATTTGCCCCGAGAATCGTGCAGGATCTCCTTGTCTTCATCTGCAGCATGACTGCTGTTAACCTTTCCATCATGCTCACAAGCGGGTGCTCTGTGCAGACTGTGCCTCCTGCCAAGTATCTCCCCAGCATCGGGGGCCCTTCCCCTCGCCTCTCCGTGACATGGTGCTGCCCTGAGCCTTTCAAAGGAATCTTTATCTGTCTGTTCCCCTTTCCACTTCTCTGTTTGTGCCAAACAGCCACCCTCACCCGGGCCCAGGCGGGCAGTTCACTCGACGCGATGCCCAACGTTAAAACGGTGCAATTTGGAGCTGCTGCAGTCCCGGCATCTCCAGGCGTGCCACAGCCACGTCTGTGCAACACACACACACACACACAAAACAACCCCAAACCCCTCAAAGCGCTGAGATTCAGTCCTTGGGGAGTGCAGAAACGCACGCAAAACTTCTCAAGGACAACTGGTTGCAGCCCCTGGGAGCGGTTCTGGTCTCACCACACCGACTTTACACACAGAGCCAGGCGGGAGGGGAGAGCGGTGCTGAGCCTGCACAGGGAACTGCACGTTCAT